TCCCTGAAAGGCATGTCCATAGTTCTTGATATTATACAAACAGTGATAAATTTGATAAATGTGCCACTCACTCAGATGAATGAAACGTAACTTATACAAGAGTCAGGACTTGGGTTTAAATGGTCGGGAGTAGGGTTTCAGTTTTTTAAAAACGAATTATTTATCTCATCGTGTATATGGCATTACCACACCCTGTAAAATTCTGTCATAAATTGTTTTTATTTGTGCAAAGCCCAATCTGCACTTAACGGTCAAAGTTGTTGGCCTTGGAAAAAGGTTATCCATTTTCTTTTTCGAGTGTACCACTAGATTGGCTTAGTCCAAATGTCCACTGAGAGGAAAGCCTGGACTTTAATCAGAGTTTCTCCCTTTTTTGCACTCTAACTGATCCTAATAATATATAATTTACCACTGCAAAAGCCTGCTGATCATTGGATTTTGACATACATGCTTATCTAAATATGATTGCTATGCTGATCCCCAGCTGCCCTGAATCTAACCCTGACCTCGTTTCTCCACAGGGATCAGCTGAGCTGTGTTTGATCAATATTCAGAGGGCAAATTTTTTTTCACAATGGCACGGAAGAGTGGAATTGCTGAAGAGTTTAATTTCCCAAAGCACCTGTTTCATGCTGTTTCACGATTTTCCGTCACGTCTGAATCATAATTTCATGAAAGCCATCATTACTATCCACTGAAAGAAAAGTTGACATCAACACATTGTTGAATGCATGAAAACTAGAAAGAAGCTATCATGTAACCTTTTGAAGCAGCAACAGCAGGCAATAGGTCAAGAATTTAAGTGATTGTCTTTTTCTCAAGATAAGAGGTCTTCATTTCTTTAGGGTAGATGTTAAAAGAAAGTTAGTAATGTCCCAGCAGAGTTGATTATCCTCTGGTTTTGCTATGTGATGTATGGAGAGGTTAAAAGGTCTGCTCATGTATCAACATGGACACTGGGATGTGTTCTCACTGCTGGAGGGCAATAGGGGCACATGTCAGAGGACATGAATGCCCATTACTTTAATCTTTTCCCTCCTATCTTTAGTACTGAGACTCATTTATTCAAAATGATTTCATCTGCCTTATTAAAAGACTTCCCATCACAATGTGACTAAACAATGTGAATATATCTAACCATTCCTATGTGAAGAAAGGCATTTATTGTGTGTGTGTTTTTTTTCTGCATTCCACTGCATGCTGCCTCTCTGCTCTGTGAAACCAAAATAGTGTCTGCATAAACAAATATAGACAGGAATTATTCAATTAATGTGTTTCTCAAAAGGTTGAATAAGTCATCATTTAGCTCCTAAGTATTTGCATTTGTATTACATTCAAATGTCACATCCAGCTAAACATTAACAGTTCAGGTTTAGCAATTAAAAGCCGGAGGCTGAAACGGGGGCACTTTCACTCAGCAGTCAACAGGTCAGCATGAGAGTTGTTATGATCCTTCTTAATTAAGCCAAAACAGGCATGTGTTATGGGTCATCAGACATAGTAAAACAGTCATCTTTAAGGTCAACATGTTTTTGTCTCAGGAGAGGATAATGGTATATTCCACTGCCATCTCACTTACCCTTTTCTTCGGTTGCAACAAATCCTGTTGCAGTTTTACCGCACTGCTTTTTGGATGTTTTTAAAACTATATTTTGGTAAAGTATCCATTCATGCCAATACTTGGCAGACCACATGGGTAAAGGTGAGTGCTCTTTTCTGAATGTGAGTTGCTTACATAAGTCACCTGCTTAAACAAAAAGCCTCCAGAGGAGAAACAGCAAATAGGACAGCGTGCCCAAATAAATGTTTGGATGTGGTTTGGAGTCAGAGATCTTGAGCCACAAAACTACTCCACATTGCTCTTGGTCTCCACACATAGCCTGTGTTCACTTCAAAAATACATACAAAACCATTAATCTACTCTTCACCAGTTTGGTTTATTAATAACTTTATTTCAAGCTGTTTCAAACTACAGTGCAGCCCCTTACCTTTGAATGTAACAGCTCCAGATAAGGCCAATAATACAAAATGCTATTTTCCTGTCTGCTTTTCATGGTGCTCTAATGGAGGGCAGATCTAAATCACTTTAAACCCATACACTTACTTTGTTTTAAACAGCAAGCTAAGCAGAGCCTTGCAGCGGAAAGAAAAAAACACAGCCTGGTCGTTGAGCCTGTAGTAAAGTTACTGCATGAACTGTGGTCTGCTTCAACAGAGCTGCACCATTAGGTTTCATCTACCTGAAAGACAAACTGTTATATTATCATATCCGAATGATCCGAAATCAGACACTTGGCTTTTTGTAGGAACATAAAAACTTCTCCTACGGTAGCTAATGATGAATGTATCTCATGTGAAAAGTTTTTATCATTTTGTTGAGTGTAGTTGAGAAGTACTTTTATGATTTTATATCATCGCAGCTTGCAAAAAGTGTTGTTTAGAAGCACTGTAACAATAATTCAGGGGCCATACTCTGTTTGAAAGATGATCGATTCTCATTCACCTCCTAAAACAAACATTTATTACTGATCCACTTAATAGGAGCTCCGGATTACATCTGTTAAAATCTTTAAATAGAAGTGAACTACTTGAAAGTACAAAAAAAATGCATGGCTTCAAATTTCATGCAGACTGATCTAAAAATGTCAATGCTGTGTGGACCCTTACTACAAGAATACAATCACTGCCTGTGCCTTTCCCTTAGTGGCTGAGGGAGAAAATGTGTGGGTTTTTTGTTGTTTTTCTTTTTGCGAATCCTGTAATGGTCTTTCGACCTGGTGTATGTCTGCAGTAAAGGGAGACTTTGTTGGCTTCAGACAGACTTGTAGACTTTAACACACACTTTGACAATAGTATATGTGTCTGATTTTCCATTTGGAAAATTGTGAGCTTTTAACCTCACATCCCAGGCTTTGCTTGGGACAGAGTAATCATCGTGAAGCTAATGATACAGTGGCCCATTGTGGCCGAGCCGCCATCTCCTGGTTTAAAACAGGCACATGCGCACGTGCCAAAGCATCCGGGCAAGAGACGCTAATCTTGACCCGTTAACACTTCAGCCAATGCTCTGTGCTTGACTCTGAGAGCCTTATTTTTAAAATTGTTGAAGTGAGCAGTTTTGTTCCAAAAATAGAGCGGGGTTTTCTGCACACCTGTAGAAAATCCTGCCTTTACACACTTGCCTTGTGTCAGCTGCTGAGTGATGTTTTGTTGTACTTCGCACCTGTTGAATGCAGGGTTTTCCTTGGCCTTTGACCCCTTTACTTAGCGGCAGTGTAATCTCTGCAGCAGCTGTCCTTAACATTGACTGACATGCACCTCTCACTTGTTGCCAGACAGACTAATCTCCTCACTTTCACTGGGACTGGTTGCCAATCTTAGCTCCTGCAGGCGGTGCTGGGTAATACCCAGCACTGTCAGGTGTGAGGTTGTTGCACGATACCTTCCTGATCATTATCACATTATCTGCTCTGACCCGACCACAGTAGCTTCACTGCACCTTTCTGTTGCTGCGGGCTGCATAATCTGGGATAACTGAGCCTGTATCGTGTGGCGTCCTCTGGTTGAGGGCTTGAGTGAGCAAAGACTGGGTTCAGTGTTTGCTGCTGGACGGGTGACAGTTTGGGTCACAGGTTCACTCTTCGAACAGCTCCCTCCCTGCAGACTCAAAGAAGGAATTTGATTAGGAGGACTCGGAAGCAATGAGGCATCTGGCAGCAGACGCAGCACCCTTCCCTCCACATCCTGAGGGCCAGCAGAGCTGCTCTGTTGCAGTCAGAGGTGGAAAACAAGGTGCACACTGTGAGCTAAATGCACACTAAAGGCGGTGGTTCGGGTTACCCCTTGGGTAGATGCACTGCCACAGAGAACCTAACTGTAAAAGGAGGGAAAGTGGAGGATGGGGAGTATGCTGAAATTGTAACTTTGGAAGAAGTATTTCAATCAAAAAGACTGGACCAGATCTGCTGGTGACAACACATTAGGATTGTTTCATGCTGCCTTACTGTTAGTCATATGGAAGTGTTAAACACACTCTTGGAGCAGCAGATGCTGAAATGCTGACATCAGAACACACTGAATTTGGCAAAGGTCACACGACTTTGTTCTATATGTCGAAATGCAGTCACAGCTGGGGGACTGACATGATCGCCTTTACTGAATGGAAGTGATTTGTGAAAAGTAAAACCAGTCTCTGGAGAGTTCATTATAACCTTTGAAGGAGTTTTGCCTCAAGTAAAAGACAAAATTGTTGCCAGACCACATACTGTTAAACGTCCACCAACACTATCAGTAATGTGACAGGTTGTTGGAAATGGCCTCATATTATTCTGTCTTGTAAAACTAGTGCTGATCAATCTTGAATCATGACTTTCATCTTTGCTACACTAGTAACACAATAAAAAACCATACTGTGATATGAGGACTTTTTGCCAAATTACATCAGTCAAGACTCAACACGTCCTCAAGCCCCCAGTGACACACCCATTGAGTTCGAGGGAGATTATATGAAAACGTGTTAACAGAAGATGACGTGACCCTATGGATGCAGGAAGACTCAAAAAGTATGATTATTACCACTTTCAAATGGATTTTTGTATTCTTCTGGTGAATGTAATGTAAGTTTTCATTTATATGTTGTTATGTATTCTATTAGCTCAGTTTTTTCCAAAGATTACTACAAGTGGATCATAGTCTTGGTGATATCCAATACTCAGGATCAACTGAACACAAAAGCAAAATTTGTTATACAAAAACCCTCAATGAGATACCATTCATCTTTCCGGATCAGTCCAAGTTTGCAAAATTAAAATAAACTGGCTGTTTTTGTCTTAGATTAGTTTTAAGACCTAATTTAAGCTAAATAAAATCCCCCAAAGTCAGATGATTGGATATTTTCCGGTTGCGTTGGATGTTCACCCAAAATCTCTATCTTCTTAGTTGTTAAGAAATAGATAGGATTACACCTGCAGTCATTTGAACGGTGAACGGTCAGGTATTAGTGACTGCGTCTAAGCTGGATTTAGAATGAACTGACCAGTCAACCCAACACTGGTTTAAGACTGCAGTGTTTCCTGGAACCGGAACAGAGCAGAGCTGCTGTGAATGACGGGAAAAATTAATGTGGCAGCATCGATTCAGACCATGGAAATAACACTGAAAGCTTTTCCTCTAAAGGTGGTGAATATTCCATGGAGGAATAATAACCTCAGTACTCTCCATACAGACCCCCCCCTCTCTGACCAAGGTGAAACCATCATTGGAATCTACCTGTTGGTGTTGGGTAAGTGTGCCTTCATACAGGCCAGTTTCTTGCAGTGTGTGCGTTGTACTAAAAAGAGCAATAGAAATCTTAGTGAGTGCTCACTGAGAATGCTCATTCAGCTTTTTTTGAGAACTATTTCAAAAGCATGAAATGTCTCCTCTTAGTTTCCTATTCATTCAACGTTTCCCGATTTATTTTGATATCGTTTTATTGTAATTTAACATGATTTAAATTCCTTTATTCAAATTGCAGAGAGAAAAAGTCACACATTGGTTAAGTGTCAGGAACAAAAACAAGTGCTGCTCTTCATGTCATGCCAACTAACACAGTCAAGTGATTTTGTGTGACAAAGACTGAGATATAAAAAGACAAGGGCTTTTTCTTTATTATCAACACTCTTATATAACGCCATAGTTAAACTATTTGACTTAAACTTCCACAGGACCAGGTCGACAACTACAATCCATTTTGTAAACATTTATAATTCTCAGCTGGATATGTCAAAAGTCTAATCCTGTCTTTTTTTTTAAATAAAATTTGTATTATTTCCTTTGTGAATGCTGTTCTGTAAATAAATCCACATTGTATATTGTGACAATTCTCTAACCCACTCCACTCTATTTTATGAGGAGTTAGTGATGTGGTCCTCAACTGATCCATGTATACTGTACAACAGTCTACTGGCCAAGAATTCTGTACTCTACTTAATTTCATACCAACTATTTCTAAAGATGCTATTATTTTCTCTCATCAGGATGGCTGTCGTGGTTCGGGAACAGTTTAGTTATATTTGTCCTGTACAGGCAGCGGGCTTCACTTCAACCAACGGATTTCTTCACTTTGAACCTTGCCATTTCTGACGCCAGCATCTCGGTGTTTGGCTACTCCAGAGGAATCGTGGAAATATTCAATATCTTAAAGGATGATGATTATTTGATCACGTGGATCTGGACCTGCCAGGTAAAAGCCAGACAAAGAACACTTTTCTTCAAAATAAGCTATTATCTATGACCTGACATTGTTACATGGAGTTTACTGCACAGTGCAGCATGAGCAATTATTCAAAAGCTGTATTTTGAAATGGTTTCAAGGTGATGTGTAGAGTCAGCAAATCACTGTATGGGAGTGTATGTTCCCTTGAGGGGCCGTTATGATTAATTGAATACAACAGGAGGATCTGTAGAAGTTTTACAATGAAATGAGTATGTGTGTCGCTGAGTATGTGCAAAGGCTTATTCTAGTAACCATGTGGGCTGGAGGTTAAATCTATAATAAGATTACCATGGTGGAGGCCTTTAAATGGGTGAAGCTCTTCAAGTAGCATGTCAACAACCAAACTCAGAACAACTCACAGGTCTCAGGTTGAAAATTGTTGTGGATTTTGATGAGATGCTCTTAGATTGCTGTATTTGCTCCATTAGTTTATTGATACTGGATTATGATTGCATTTAAAAGACAATCTTTTGGGTGCCAGTTCTGAAGTGTTCCGTTCATTTGGATGTGTCTCTGGTCGCAGCCTCAGCTTGAAGTGAAATAGCTGTCATAGTTTAGCTTGGAATTCATCAGGGCATTCTCTTGCTTCAGGCTACCTTTGGTAGAAAACGTGATATCTTCCCCAGAAATAAGTGAATTTTTAGAGAAATAAAAAAAACAAGTAGCTGTAACCAAACACATTTTCAATCAGAGAAGTGTAAACTCCTAAATCCGAGTGTACTGTCAGTCATTTTTTGCTGCTCTTAGGCTGAAGTCCAGCCACTCATGTACTCGATTTTTGTTCATGCATGAAATATATAGAACTAAAAGCCAGCTGCTCTTTACTTTACTTTACTTTAACTTCCCCAGAGACGTTGATAAGAAAAAATCAGAGTTAAATGAGGGAAACCAGTAATAAGTGAATGGAGAAGAGGAGAGAAGGAATTAAGATATGAAAACGAGAGGTGTGAAACATATCAGTGCATGATGGGACATGAAGAATTTCAAACTAGCGCTGATCTTTCTGTTTTGCTCCCCAGGACATGAGTCAGTAGGACTGGGCCAAAATAAGTCCTTGTGTGGAGAGGCAAGGTGTACTAAAACCCTCTGATTTGAAATACCTTCTCTCCTGGTGCTTGTCCTGTCTCCCAGAGTTTATTACCATATCGCTCTGTGCACCTGAAGAGAAATGTTTTCAAAACACTGTACTTGGATGATGAAATTATACTATTTTAAGATTAATTGTTCTAAGTTATTACTAGAATAAACATTTCAAGTTAAACTCCCTAAATCACGATCTTACTTCCAAACGCGAGAGTAAAATAGATGTGATGACGCGCAGTAATAGGATTATGACCAAGGAGGATCATGAAAGTCATCAGTAAAAGACCTTGGATGAGCTGTACCACCTGGAAGTGACCCTGCAGGGTGCTGGCTGTCGTACAGTTGGAGCCAGACCGAAACATAGTAACATAATTCCCTTTGAGAAGAGCTGGATTTAAAAGGTAATCACCATTGAACAATTGACAGCCAAGAGGATTAGTCAGCAACTGGATTTGGCAGTCATCTAATTGTTTTCCCCCACATCGAGATAAAATCTAAAGAAAGTTTACATTCTAATTTCCGCTTGCTAATTCTGTAACTTATATAGCCTGCAGCCCACATCAGGCAAAGTGCTATGAGTCAGAGAAATGTTCGTCAAAAGTCAGGAAGACCCGTATCTTCACCTGTATCCTCTCTATTCGATAGGTTTCAAAGCCAAAGACACTCCGCAGATTCATCTCTCGAGGCTTCGGTGAATTCTCAAAAGAAATTTCTTCCGGGCAGATTGGTCTGTCACCTGTCTCCTCTGTCTGCCTCGTTCCAGGTAGACGGCTTCTTCACGTTGCTTTTTGGCCTTGTTAGCATCAACACCTTGACCGTGATCAGCGTCACCAGATACATCAAGGGATGCCACCCACAAAAAGGTCAGAGCTAACCCCCCTGAGCCGAAGTGTGGAAACACAAGGAAAGCTCCATACCAGCGAGGCGGCCTCCCTCGCATTCCAGCAGTTCTTATCTGACAGAAAGTGTGTTTTTCAGCTAATGAAACCTAAACACTGACTACAGCTGGAGAAATAACCACCACTTGTCTCCAGCGATACCATTTCTTTTTCTCCAGCATGTTATTAAGTCAATTTGAGGTGACATTTTCTTTTTTGGGGGCTGTAACTGAGGCTGAAGAATGTCTTAATTACATGGAAATTAGGTTGAGCAACGGCTTCTGATTTTACTGTGCTGGTGGTTGTTCATAAAAATGAGTCTTTATAAACCTGTGTGTTTTTTTCTTTCTTTTCTCTTTTTTTACATTGGTGGTTGAACTATGAGCATCATTGGTGAGAGTGGGACATAGCCAGCTTTCTTATGTTCTAGAGCACAACTGCTGCAAACAACAAATATGTCGCTAGATAAACTAATTTGAGCAATACAAAGTGCAAATGAAATGACAATCCAGTTAGTGGGTTGGTAGCCTGTTGCCAATAGCAACAAGAGCACTGTATCTCGGCAATCCTTGGTCACTGTAACTCAGTTGAATGTGTAGTATTGAATATTGACATAAGACATTTGAGCACTTCTTGAAAACAGAACGGCTTTTTTCTCGTCCCTTGAATACAAAACTATGTGTACTTTGTCAACAGAGGTCCTTTTCAGTCTCAAATGTTTGCAAGGGCTGTTAGCATAAGAAAAGACCTCATTGTTTGACAAATGACAGAAAATATTGACATTCATAGCAAGACAAGAATTTCATTTAAAGCCTCCCATTTTTTTTCTTTTCTGTCTTCTGCCAAAATCCTAACATTTAACAATCCCACTATCTGTTCCATGACTGTCACTTTTTCTTGCAGCTCACTGTATCAGCATCAACACGATTGCAATATCGCTGATCTTCATTTGGTCTGGAGGGTTGTTTTGGGCCGGTGCCCCACTTCTGGGATGGGGCAGCTACACAGGTCACTTTGTTTCAGATGCCTGAAAAGAACTTCAGACCATTCCACAAAGTTCAACCCTTAGCTTTAACACAACCTCTTTATCTCATGATTTTTTTAGATCGAGGTTACGGCACCTGTGAGGTGGATTGGTCCAAAGCCAACTACTCTACGATTTACAAGTCGTACATCATCTCCATCCTCATCTTCTGCTTCTTCATCCCCGTGATGATCATGCTCTTCTCCTACGTCTCTATCATCAACACAGTGAAAAGCACAAATGCCATGTCTGCTGGTGGCTTCCTCTCCACCCGCCAAAGGAAAGTGGAGAGGGATGTCACACGGGTAAGCCCAGACCAAAATGGCTGAGTTTTATTTCTGAGGTCTCTTTATATATTGGAAACATTTGTTTGCTCAAGTAAAATCAGACTTGTTGAAGTTCTACTCAACACCGCCCTTAGTAATAAATCCTTCCGCACATTTCTCCAGACCTGACAATTGCTTCCTCGTGTCCCTCTCCAGATCTCCATCGTAATCTGCACGGCTTTCATCATGGCCTGGTCGCCATATGCAGTGGTGTCCATGTGGTCAGCCTGGGGCTTCCATGTGCCCAGCACCACCAGCATCTTCACTCGTCTCTTCGCCAAGTCTGCCAGCTTCTACAACCCTATAATATACTTTGGCATGAGCTCAAAATTCCGCAAGGACATCTCCATATTGCTGCCTTGCACAAGAGAGAACAGGGAAGTGGTGCGTCTGCAACACTTTAAAAATCTCAAACCTAAGGCCGAAGCCCCGCCCCCACCTGCATTTCTTCCTGTCCAGAGGATGGAGGCAAAAAGCATAGCAGGAGAACTGAAGCCATCCGATCCTGAGAGCGATTCAGGGGTCAACAGCCCTCCGCATACAACCCCGGAGATCTTCCACATTGATATGCCATCACACATTGAAACATCAGAGTACTGTTGTGACAGACTCTGAGGACTGTTTCCATTTCACTTAAAACTAACACTTGAAGAACAAGGGGAGATTAAGAATAATTTTGCATTTTTTGGTCTTGCTCATGTTCGTAAACTGTATCTGTTACATGTCTTAATAAATTATTTGCTGTGGCTTAAGCAGCCTTTTTATATACACACACATAAATATATATAGATATATTCAAACAAATTTGTATTAGATATTTTTCAACTGAAACGGGAAATGGCAATGCCCTGCCTGAATCCTCTAAAAGTTAGGCACAAAAGTAGCTCAGCCAAGAGATGCAGGGCAACATCTGGAAACACTGAACTGTCCTTGACTCAGCTGGCGCACGCGATGGTACAGTATTCTGTCATTTCCCTTTTGCTGCCTCTCACGACTCTCATGACATCAGATCATACGCTGCAGATGACATTCTGTCAATTAGCTATCTATAAAAATAATCCTATTTAATTTCTCCAATCATTCAAGCATGCAAGTGTTGGAAAACTGAACGTTGATTGGAGCAAATGTTGTGTTTACATAAAGCTGAGTGGCTCTGTTTTTACAGAAAACTCAGCAGGAAACCTCCAGACCACGGGTATTGCAAGTTAAAACCGTTGTCTGCTGACAAGCTGTCAGACTGCAGGCACCAAAAGAGCAATGAGTAACTCTGAAACAGCACCTGATCTTTTCTCATTTTTTTTTCTTTTAGGCAACATCAATGGGCATTTATCTGCTCGGGCCATGAAGATTTAATCTTAAAGTTACTGGTGGTTTCTGTAAAGACCATAATCACATGCACAATGAGCTCTTTTACAGCAGCACTTAAGACCTTTAAATCCAAATGGCAAGCAACCATCCGTATAGTGCTCAATGGCAACACCTTGTGTGCCAAACTTTGGAAACCGACTGGCTCAGCCTGTAAGTAATGGAGGTTGACAGGAATGTGTGTCCAAGGAGGGGCTCCAGGGGTGCTACAGCACATCAGAAACCTCAAAGGGACAGTAGATGTTACACTTTTGATTCCCCAATAGAGTGGAGAGGGACACATAGCTGGAGCAAAAGCTGGTACCCTACTCTTTATTGTTTCATGACTACAAATCGACTGAGCAAAACACATTACCAAATTCTGCTCCGTTTTTCTCTTAAAAAACAGAAAATATGCAAACTACAGTGATTTTGCCAATCTATTCCCTGAGCATGCTCAATGCGTAAATCAACGTTTACTTCGCCTCTATCCTCTCCCCTGATTAGCCTGTTGTTGGCCTCGGGTCGCTAATCTTTTTCTGCCTGGGTGAAAAAGCTGGGAGCCTAAAGTGGGACGGGCAAGCAGGGGAAACTCTGGCCCCATCCCGTTCTCCACTCCTAGTGCGCACTGCGACCCATCAGACGTGGAACCTAAGGTGCGACAGGAGCACGCGCCTGCCGCTCCAAAGTACTCTCAGTGAGACGGTAAAAGGAGGGGGCTACCTTTTCACCATATACTGGATTATTTTACCCACTCAGGTAAGTTCACTATCATTTGTCCACGGAAAATAAACAGAGGGCTAATAAGCGGCTCCACGTTTAACCGCAGTGTTGGGTTTTGGCTTTCGCTCACTGCAATTGAGCAACTTGTCAAAAGGTGCGTAATTGCGCGTAATTAAAGTCAATTGCGCCGTAGCCGTAAAAAAAAGCATTCCACGTAAAAGTTTGGAGACTGTTTAAGTATTTTTGCACATTCATTTTCAGCTTTTACATGACGATAACCGGGCATCATCTTAATTTAAACCGATTGAAGTCTTACACGTTGCTCAAATAACTTACTTAATTGGGTTTGTCGAGCCTCGTCTGGATGAAATAGTAGGCTACTTGACCTTCTCCCTGAACTGACCATTGTATTGCAGAGAAATACAGACAAATATGCTCACTCTAATTATTTGCAATGGTGAGAATGAAAAAGTTTAGATTTTTTGCCTATTTTCAAATGCGTTATTCTTCCTGCTGTTCTTCTGAGCTGTGAGTGTTTCAGCCCTTGATTGAACTTTTGTAAATAATGTTTGGCGTTCCCTTTTGTATTCTTTCTCTGTACATTAATATGTCCAGCAGCGAGTAACAGGCTGTGGCTTGAACTGAAATCAGTGCCAAGAATTAAAGAAATTCAGCTGTGCCGTGCTTGATAAACAAACGCCGTCTGAGCAGAAGCACCAGCGCGAAAAGCTTCAGAAATGGCCCTGTAGAGACATGTTGGGATTTTTTGTGTGACTGCTGTCTTGTGGTCCCTGAGTTTTATTTTTGCTGAGTAACATGCTTACAGCACCGTTGTGACACCTGTGAATGGTGGGATTTATCACTCCCCAACAATGTGTGCGTGTGTCTGTGTGTCCATTTATGCAAACTAAGTCTCTTTTTTTCTTCTCTTATGAACACAGTGAAACCAAGTTCCAAGCTGGTCATGATACTCTGATAAACCCAATCTCCTTTTGTTCTTACCCATGATGCATTTGTACTGTTCACCCCAGACTAAGAATGTGGCTGCTGGAGGTTTTAAATCCAGTCCTTGTATTAAGTGTTAAGCTGCGTGTCTCTAAAGTTCAAACTTAGGTGGCAGAAGGACACAATTCTGGGGCAACAAATTGTGTTTTTTTGCTCTTATGAATAACTACTTTCAAGCACTTTTAAGACTCTGGTGGTCCATTGGCAAGTGTGTGTGGTCTGTATGTTTTGAGAACCTATTGTGTGCAGCTCTTTGAAATACTCCCAGATAGCTTCTGTATATCCTGTTTGCATTACAGCAACGGTATACCTTTAAGACTCCTTCCAGGCCTGTCATCACTCCCACATGATCAGATTTCTTCTGCTTATACACCTGAAGTAAAAGAAAGATTTGCTTGTAGCTGAAACAGGTTGCACAAAAGCTTGGCCTAGTGGAAGCTTATTAAAGGTTGTGTGCTGCCTGTAATCCATATTAGAGTGACAGTAATTTCTCAAGCTGAATTGAACTTTAATTCCTCCAACTATGTAACCTGTCTGAGCGGGTTTGCTTCCATAAAGGGACAAAATCTGGTTGTAGGAATAATTTAGGATTACATTTTCATTGGTAGCTGTCTTCCTGTTGATTTTTTCGATTTGTGTCCATCTGAAATTAAATTATAGTTAGATAGCAATTTATGCCCTCATCTAAAGTTTATAGCCAGGGAATAGGAGATATTTGCAATGCGCACATCATGTGACCCAGTGTGTTTAGGAGTTATTAATGTGGCACCTCAAAAGTCTGATAAGCATTCTCCAAAGCTCTCTGAGGAAGCTCACCATTGGATCTCTCTCACTCTGTTTATTCTTCATCTTTTAGTGTAATGCTTGTGTCTCTGTGTGAGACTATGTCTGTGCGAGTTCCCGCAGGGCATATTATCCACTTTGCAGGAAACTCCCTGCAGTGTTTGTCAAAGGACATCATTTGCTCTGTATGTGAGGAGGCTCACTCTGAGATATCAAACAGTTTCTTTAATTATTTCATTCTCTCTTGTGATGATGTCATTGTTTCTTTTCGAGGAAGAAAAGCCAGCGAACTAAAGTTTGATTTGGAGGATTTGAATACTTAATATGCCTTTCAGTTATAAAACATGCGAAGGTGAGCATGTGATTGTTTCCTGTCATACAGCTGATCTCTTAGAAGGCGATCAAGTTTCCTGTACTCCAGTCTCCTTTCTCCTCCACGGGAGATGTGCATATCTGTTCAAGCTTGTTCTCTGTCTCAGCTTCCTTCCCCCGCAAATACAAATTGTAGTCCTGACTGTGAAGTAGTCATCTATCTACCTGTCAAAGCATAGCACAGTGGAAAATCTATGTCAGCACTTACAAATGCAGCGCTGGGGAAAGTCCTGCCACTGGCTACACTGCTTCCTAACATAAAAAGGCTTTACTAGAAGGTTACTGGGACAACAATCAAGAAACTTCATGAATGAGAAGCTGGCGGGAAATAGTTTGCTTCATTGCCACCTGTGGGTCGCCTGGTAAGTAGATGTTACGTGCTCTTAGAAGAGAAATAGTCCAGCACCCTTTCCAGTGCTCTGGGTTTTGTCTCGATGGCACATGATGTGTTGGTAAGTGCGCTGTAGGAGACTGTTGCATGCAGGTAAGGCTAGCTGCTTCCTCCTGTTGTCAGTCTTCATGCACAGCTTGGCTAAAAGAAGCTAAAGAGTTGCATGTTCCTGTCAAGTCAAGCACTGCAAATGTATTTATATTGCACTCTACATAAGGGTTTGCTGAGGATGATCATTTTTCATGTATTTTGTCATTTATTACTATATGAATCTATAAAGATTTATTTCTGTATTACACTTGTAACATAAACACACAAAGTTGTAATGTTAGAAATCGGACAGCAGTAATGTAATAACATTGTTGTTTTTCATGAAATGTGAGCAAACTGTGCAGAGGTAAATCAGTATACATATCAGTATATGAAATATATCAACTGGAGTCCAGTGCAGTGAGAAAATCAACAGGTTTCTGAGATATTGGCATTGTTGTTTCTTTGTTTTGTTTTTTAACAACAAAAAATGTACTGTGGTTAATTTCTTTTTGTTCATGATTGCCACTGAGAAATATCAACATGATCCCAATTAGATGTGTTTTCATTTGGTATATTTTCCCTGGAAAATTTAATTTAAAGCACTCAAACAACTATATGATGGTACAGTCAGCAAACTATTTCTTACTAAAATACTTGTCTGTTTTTTGCATTCACATCAGCCTGAATGTAGCTCAGTCTGACCCAGCTTCAAAGGACTGGTGATGGTACATTTGCACATGATAAGATTGATTCTTCTCTGCTTTTATACTACTAATCTGCTGTATCTATCAGCACTGAGAGGCAGATGTCACCCTTCTGGGTGGTAGAGCATTCATCTGCCTCAGCGAGGGGGGGCTGTGGGGGCCGTACGTTTTACTCTGGCCACGCTGTAGTTCAGATTTAGCTTTTTTTCATTACAGCCGTCCTGTGATTACATCAAAATGTTGCATTACAGTGTTTGGAGGGACGCCTCATCCACCTGCTTCTTTTCAGCTTAACTCTGGCTTCAACTATGATTTAAATTCTTCCATGTGTACATCTCCTGAATCTGAATTACAGACGCAAGGAGCGATTTTCCACTAAGTGTAAGCACACTTTGTTTTAGGTACATTCCCGCTTGATGTGGTAGCTTACTTCAAACAGGGAAACTGAAACAACACCCCTTTTCATACTGATCAAATTATGTTTCTCAGCCATCTAATAAGTCCAGCTCCATGGATATTAGTGGCATGACTTCTGTATACAGATGTAAACATCAGATGCAGTGCCTCGGATTGGTTAAAATGCGTTTTTTAACTTACCTGACCAATCTTTGAACCAACATATTAGCTGAAACTGGCCATAATAACTGGACACACAGCATTTTATGGCATGCATCCAGTAAAGCTCCACAAAGTGTGTCACCTAAAGGAGTTTTAAACTGTATTTCTTTCAACATGCAAAACGCTTAACAGAAAGTGTCATTTTATTTGAATATAAGTGAGGGAGTCTGCTTCAGAGGGTAATAGTAAAAATCTGTCTCTTCTTCACAGTCTGTAAGCCTGTAGGTGGTTCAGCTGTCATACGAGGACGTCTGGCTGAGCAGTGGAAATCAAGGCACCACCCATCATGGTCAGAGTATCAGTTACTGTCATTGCCCTTGGTGAGAAAAGCATTCACCCTATTTGGGGTGTTCCGTTATGAAGCAGGCTTTAGATCATACCATTTTAGAGGCATTATTTCGTACTGTCTTCCATCAGTGATTCAGGTTTCTTTTTTTGTTTTTCTTTTCTTTTTTTAAAATAATTCACCTTTTGAAACAGCGGCCTCTCTGAAATCTTGTGTGTATGGTATAAACATGGATGATTACATTACTTTGTCTGGTATTATGTGAAACTCCCTCTGCCTCACCCGCAGTGCCCCTCTTGTTGTGTGCATGCTGGGCCAAGCCTAATGGATCAAAGAACAAGAAACCAAAGCAGAGTAAGCAACCCTGTAATCTCTCTCAGACCCAGTAGAATTGTCTGCACTACCTTTTGGTTCACTCACTGCGTTTTTACCTGGAGATTCATTTGACATTGCAGTTGTTTTTTCCTTGTCAACTGTTCTGAATTAACTTCTTTGAAAAAAACACACTGCACAAGTGACTACACCCCTGTGTCTAATCTAAAAATGTCAGGAGTGTATGGCACATTGGCAGGAAGTATTTCTAAGATGGTTACTAGAGAATGAGTCATGTAAAATGCTTGAGAAAAAGGATAGGCTCTCAGTAGACACTGACAATTGAACTGACTCCAAATATGTTCCCTAATATACAAATCAGAAAACCTGCTATCACAAAAAAAGGGAGAAAGGAAGGGTAACACAATTTGTGCAGAGGAAAACCTCTTAGAAATTTCCGTTCCTGCTTTGGAGAGCCTTGTCATTTTAAACAGTAACAAAGTAAGAAGTTTCTTAAAAGCAAATAGCAATCTATTCAACTTAAATCTTGCAGAACCACTGATCTGTCAATAATTTTGTCTTTTTGTTTTTATCTTCTTTTGTCTGCAGTTGTTCCAGATATAGAGTGCGACGTCAGGGCTGGAAAGATCAATCTCCCTGAGTTCATTGTCAAATGTCCTGCACAGTGCAAGGAAACCAGGCAGCAGGTCTATGGAACCGGCGTGTTTGCCTCCATCTCCAGCATCTGCAACGCAGCCATCCATAGGTTAACACAGGAGTGATTCATGTCAAGTGATCTTTCTACCAAATACCTGTCCTGGTAAAGCACTGGAATGGATTGGTATGTTGTCTCCACAGTGGGGTCATCACTAACTCAGGAGGGAAGGTGATTGTAAGGAAGATGGCCGGGCAGAACATCTACAAAGGCAGCAATTCCAATGGGGTACGCTCGCTGTCATTGCCCAAGTGGAGGGAGTCGTTTGTCGTTGCAGGTACTGATGATGAAGTCCACCACGTTACGCAAAATTCTTCTGATTAGGATGTCATAATAAATTGTGGTTCTACTGCATTTCAGTGGGTAAGCCAAAGAAAGGAGTCATTTACCCATCTACTCTGGACTACGTTCCTTCAAGACCAACCTATGTGAAAACAGGTAAGAGGAATATGAGGACGTGACTTTTGGCTGATTACATTTAGTTTGCCTGGACATTGAGATATGGATTCTAAGTTCACTGGTTTAGATGCATTCAAATAAAAATAAAAAGTGTCTAGATCTGTAATCATGTGATACACGAATTATGAATGTAAGGGTCTATTGATTGAATGGATGTTTTAAAAGAGTGTTATATAAACAAATCATCTATCACTTTTTTAAATCATTTCTTTATTTACCCACCAAGATATCCTTGAAGGACATTTCAGTTGTATGTTCAAAGTACAAAAGGTTACTGGATAAGCATCCTTATGCTTGACTCTGCCCTGCTGAACTTCCCTCAGCTTGAATGAGGAGCTGGATTGCTGTAGTGTGCTGAAGAATGACAAGAATGCATTACAACACAGAGGTTTCTGTAGACGCTCTTCCTCCCCATCCATCCTCCTACATGACTGACTGACTTCATCTTTCAAATCCTTTCAGGTCAAAAGGAGGCCAAGTCACCTGCAGTCACCACGGCGCTGCCTACAACAGCAGCCCCTGAAGTCACCACCACCACTCCTGAGCCAACCACCACCACACACCCTCCCACTACCACCACCACTACAGCTCCACCACCACCTCCAACCACCAAGGCCCGGGCTGCTGTCCATAAAATCCGGGATGCAGGTGAACAAAACAGGCACAGAGTTGCATTCAAAAAGTTACATCATCTGCAGTCAGAGGGCCACCTAGATGACATCCATCTAACACTATCGGCAGCTTGTAATTAGAAATGATTCCTGTAAGGACAAGCTCTCCTTTATGTGGAACTGAGCGATGAAGATCTATGATTGCATCTGGTATTTACAACTAGTTACAACTGCAATTATGAGAAATTACAGCTGCTCTGTGATGAAGTTCATACTGCACTGTTCAGCCAGCATGACTGGCTTCGCAGTGGATCAGCAGACCTTTCATCGCTGATTAAATGAAGGCATGATCGGGCAGTAATCACTGTGGGTCTGCGCCGTTTTAAATAGAAACGCGGCTACAAAGAGTAGGCAGTGCCACAGTATCTTCAGGTATGTGTGCAAATGAGATGGGCACTGTGCCAAGCTACCTCCCAAGCGTTTCTCTTCCTTTCATTTTCTGTAACACTATCTGTCTTCTCTTCATATTGGCACCCCATTTGTATTTCTTCTATCTAGGAAGCAGTCACCCATACCTTACTCACATGGCTGCCACAAGTTCAAGTAAGTGAAACCTAACAAAAACTACTATTCTTTTGGATGAAGGGGTGGGCTATGAGAAGGCCTACGGTGCTGATTCTTGATGCCTGGGCATTCGGGAGCATGTGTTTACACTAACCATGGGGTATTCGCTTCAATTCAGGCTTGTATGCATCAAGATTTGTCCTGTAATTCACGTTAAAGGTTTTGGTGGTGCTGTTTCCAGCTTAAGTTGTCACTGTCAGTGACACAGCTTGCAAAATTCACTTTGGTTTGCAGTTTTGATACAATTTTTTGCTAGGTATTTTTCTTGTAAATTTGCCCAAATTGTGTTATTGGTATAGGACAGTCACAGACAGGCCCAGGAAAGAGTCCCAGTCAAGGTATGTCACTTTTCTCCTTTGTCCTGCAGCTGTTTAAAAGGCTTTTGTGATACCTACAGTCAATGAAGTGTAACTAAACAAAAGCATTTCTTCAAAGTATTCAGAGGAGGCTCCTATCCGAATAGATTCCCACACCGTGCAAGTGCAGGTAAATCAGCCAATCTTTTTTTATTGACATCTCCTTGTCCATTTGGCTTTGGTTTGTCTGAAACTGTCTCCACAGCTGGTCTGCCACCTTTTCCTTATTTCTTTGATTTATGCTGATGTATATGTGCATGGCCCCTCTGATCTGTTCTGTGCCTGTAACAGCTTAGTTTTACTAATATTTTTATTTACATAGGCCATATTTTTGTTCCATAATCTATTAAGTAAAAGCCAACAGCTATTTTAAGTATTCACAAAAAAGAAACATGACTCAGAGGACAACTTAAAAAATGAGCTGCTGCTGTTTCTAGATGTCATTGCCAAAAGGCACCATCAATCATATCAGCAATACCATGAGCAAATCTGCTTATAATGCAAAATAATTGTAGTCAAGGAATGACTTAAATTATTTAACTGACCCAGTTTGTCTCACCAGTCTGGGTTCAGGAACACGTTACAGAGAATTGTAAAGTTATGTATGCTAGATGTGGGTCAGTTTCAAACCTCCAATCAGATAAATTTTTTAACCAAAGTAAGTGATTTGAAAATAATGATCAAACTGGTCAGACAGGGGTTGGACTTGTAGCATCACACTTAACATGATATCTTAAATGCTGGATGAAAATATGAGAGAAATGAGGAGCTAAGATGATCAAATGAGCTGTTGTTGGTAGATAAATACAGTAGAGTCAAAGTTTCAGAGTTCAAATCATTCTGAGCTTCATACAACTGGTTGCCATCCAGGATGGACCAAACCAGTGGACTTGGTTTCCAAAGCCACACTGCTCAAATGGCCAATAAAATTGAGAATCTCTGAATCCAAGGAATTTTTGAAGACAATATTTTCTACTTCGGTGCTACTGTAATTATAGGGCAGTCCTAAAAAAACAACAACCTTGCTCTTAGTAAAACTGTCTTGGATGAATAAATGTTTAAAAACAGCAATAGCAATAGGCCTCAGGTTTTATTGCATCTTTATTCTCAGTGACTGCAACAGCTTGCAGGGACAGCAAATCTTTCTCCAGCATTTTATAAAAGGGGGGATGCTCCTTGTTCGGAATCTCTATTATTTGTTTTGCGGGTCAAATTCTTTTCACAGATGCCCATCAGGAAGTGGCCAGGCCATCATTTGAAATTATGCCCATTGAAAATGTAAATGACTTCAAAACAATTACATTTTGTTTTATTGTGCCTTCCTTCAATACGCGGCTCCAGGTATGCGCAGACCAGAGGCGGGGTCAGCCATCAGGAGGCAGCCATCCTCTCCTGTTGGCCCAGGTCAGCCTCCTCATCAGCACTCTCACACACAGTAACTAACAGGTAGGCATGGTTAACAGGAATGTGGGTCAAGGGCAGCTTTCGGGGACAGATGACTGTTGAAATGAGAATCCAGGAGACCCCAGTGTTCACACCCATGAGCCCCTGTGGTCTTCACCCCGGGGTCACAACTAACCCGCTCCATCAAGCATCTCAGATAACATTCCTCTGGAGATAACTGCTGTTTTCTGTCATTATAAACATCCTCTCTCGGTCATATTTTCACTTTACGAGACGAAAAGTGCCAAATTAAGCAGAGTTAAGGCCTGTAAATACGCCCAGCATATATCTATTGTTTTTGATATCATGCTGTGGAGAAACTGCCTTTAACTTTGATCAGAGCCTAACAGCTGGGCTGCATTTGTGGACGGAAGCCCAGACCTGAATCTCTCCTCTGCCCCCCTTCTTTTCCTTTCCTTTCCTTTTTCTATCTGCCTGTTTCTCATCTATACAAACAGCTTTCAACAGGGTTCAGCCTGCCCCACCAGAGCGGACTCAAACCATGAGCCAGCCCAACCCTGGTAAGTGTCTGCAGAGGGAGCGCTTAACCACACTGACGCAGACAGTTCTGATCAAACAGGAGGATAACAAGGGCCATAAAGCCTCAGTTAGAATGTTTTGTAAAGCTACACTAATGTTTACCCTCTGTGGGGAGCTATAGTTCAATGCATGGCTCGTCTTCTAGACAGCCCATGCAGAGATACTCAAATTTCATTGGGGAAGAATGAGTGCAAAAAAAAAATCAAAGATCAAAGCTGAGGTGATAACATCATTCAGATATATCTGATATCCCTCAGACACCTCTCGATTGTAAATAAGGCTACAATGAGGAACTCTGCTAGTAAAGTCATATCCTCTCATGACAGAGACCATGTGGCCTAGTTTTGGTCCCCTCCCTTAAAAAATCAGAGCAGAAAAAAGGAGAGATAAAAGCAGCTGTAGTGGTTCTCCCACAGAGAGGCATGGCCCAGTCCACAGCACAGCAGGATCTAGCTCCACTGTCTGCTCCTCAAGAATAAAAAGCTCCTCCAACCAGGCGAGGTGTGGCCCACAGAGGAATGCACTTCTGTTTTCTCTTCCACAGCATGCTAAACCATAAATCCCCTGAAATTAGACAGGCCTATGTCTATTTAAATGATGGCTGATGGTAGGATTTGATTTAAAAAATGCAGGGGAAAAAATTATTGAAACCAGTACATAATTTATTCAAATTACCTTTGTCTGCTGAGATGCCAATGCGTGCAGGAAGTAGGTCATTTGATTGGTGCATTTAAATTGGTTGATCCCCTTAAGGTAATTCTTGAAGGAGGAAGACAGAGTTCAGAGGTGAAAGTGATCAGCACTCCCGGTGCCTGCAGGGACTCAGACTTTCCTCCAGGACTCCCTTGCAGAAGGGGATGCTTGCCAATGTTAGTGTGTCAGACATTGATTTACAGGTTGAGGGATTTTTTTTCTGTGTCACTTTGTGACAGCCTCCACAAACAGATGTTTAAACACGTTGCTTTAAGTTATGGCCCAGTTTAACATGAGATTTTTTTTCCCAGAGATGGTTACCCGACAGCCAAAAAGATACATGGTAAAATCTGTAAAAAGAACAATTTAAAAAAAGGCGACGAGGTGATGTTATGTGACCATCTGCTTTAGCTTGTGGCTGCCAGCAAAACGGCACATTATGATCACTCACTCTGACATATATAGGCCCATAGCTTTATGGCAAAGCGAGCTCTGCTGCTAGATGAAGCTCTTTATCCCCGGTCCTGCTCTGACCTCCTGGCCTCAGTGATAACTCAAATGGCTATGATTGAAAGAGTTGAACTCAATCCCTTTAAAGCACCTGTTTTAACAGAAAGAAACAACACTACTGTCTGCTGTGCACTACTGGACCTTTGACCAGCAGCTGATTAGCCTAATCCCTGCGTCCTGCTATCCATACTGTCCCTGGTTTGACACCAACCTTAGAACAACACTCCCACGCTTCAGTGGTCAGCTTGCTTGGCCCTTTTAGCCCAGACTAGTAAACAAAAGGTCCAGCTCGCTAGTAGTCGCTGGATGGGAACCTCAGAGCTGGACCTGTGTGCTTGTTTAAGCCACCACAGAGAGAGGTTAACTGAAGTGTGTTGCCATGGTTCACTGAGCTCAGACAGAGGGGACGCACTATTATGGTTCTGCTCAGCTGTTTCAGCCTCTAGCGTTCAGTCACAACTGTCCACCGTCGACGTCTTCTTTTTTGGACATTTGTAAAGCTGAATCTTCTCATTTGCTGAGGAAGCAGCCGGTGGGACAGACAGTGAGGAAAAAGTATTTGGGCTTCTTCTGTCTATCTACACTGATGATAGAAAGAAAAAAGCCTAAATTTCACCTAAACAACCTTCAGTCCATCAGTCTCTGATTGAATGACTGCTGTATGTTTAGTGTCTGGCTAAACACCTTGTGCACGCCCCACTAATAACGTGGTCATTTTAGTGGAGGTCACAAGTGTGCTCCTCATCTGTGCTTGTCCTGAATGCCGCCTTCTAATCTTCCCTGGCACAGCTTTTCCCAGAAGGGATTGGCCACCCCCTTCTTTTGCTCGTCCTGATTGGTTCCCTGGAGCCCGACGTCCAGCAGGTAGCAAATATGGCACTGATCAAACCTAATTTGCACATTTGATTATGATGATTTTTTTCTAAATGCTCACACAAGAGTAAGGTAAGAAAGCTTTCCATACAAAGCTGTCATTTTATGAATGCATCGCCAAGTATCATGACTTAAAATAAAAGATGGCTAGTGTAACTGATAGGTGTTGATGCATTCATCTTCTCTGCTGCACATTCAGATGTTAGTTACACAGGTCCAGACACAGGATATGCATGGAGTGAGACGGACACACCTGAATATCCAGGTAAGTTGCACCCGCCTCCCTCTAAAGTTACACATCAGGACAGTTCGGAGCACAATGCCACCTCCCTTTACCGAGGCACATGACCACACTGCATTTTGATTGGTGCTGCACGTGGAAACACAGCATGCTCATGTGAATGATACAGTTTATCTATCTGCTGGCCATGAATGTGTTCAATAAACTTTTAAGTGTGAGTAAACGCAGTGTGTCCCCCGGACCCTGTGTTTACAGGTCATCTGCCTGCCACATGAGAGATTCTTTGAAGTGTAGTAGAGGTGCATGGGGCAGGATTATGGTGCACGCCAGAGTGATAGACTGTGAGGTGATCATTTTGCAAAAAAGAGCCATACTTTTCTTCGGTCTGTGATTGGTTCGGAAGGACGTGTGACCAATCACAACCATGAAAATGTGTGCTTTCCCCTCTGAAGTTTGCTCCACACTAATGGGTTTCACAACGTCCTCCTCTAGCTCGGGATCACAGGCCTGATATCTCAGACTTTGAGCGCTGGTTTTATAACTTTGGACCTTACCGTAAGTGTTCTTGAATTTCTATTTATTGGGCACTAACAAGTCTCCAGGTTGTACCGTATGATATGAATGAATGGGTTTGGGATTGGATTCACGTAAACCTTGTTGGGTTCTTTCTCTGTGACACAATAGCACACAACTTCTGGGACAAGATCACACTCCTACTCTGTTAGTGTTGATCTGAATCCTCACATAAATCACTTGGTACTGACAGACAGAGTGAGGTTAGCTTTGTCTACATGTTTCTTCTCACTCCACATCTCAGCACAAAGACGGTCAGTTTCCATTTGGCAAAGCATGAAATCAGGTAGCCCAGACTTCTAATCTACTTCATGAAGTGCTTTAAAAAGCTGTTCTATAATTTACACTAAACCAAAACACACAGGCCACTCACAGGACACAAATAAGTAGCAAAAGCCCCCGTTTTCACATTATAAGCCATTATAAGTTTCTCCATCTGTTGAGAAACACAGCTGAATATACCCATGTTTCATTCGGTCACTCAATGACCAAGCAAATAAAACGTGTAACCAGAAAGGAGCAGGCCACAATGCAATGGCGTGCTTACTTGTATATTTCTTGTGTCACAGTTTATCCTCATTGATAATTGCCTTTATTTGTAGCCCCTCGATCCACTGACTCAGAGGGCAGCATTAAAATGCCGCTGGATCCAACCCATACCAAAGGTGAGCAGTTGTTACCATGGCTACAATCCAAAAAGGCTTCATATCATATAGGATCAACACAAAAACAGTAGATTTGCTAACGCTGAGCTTGTGCGATATCACCCGAGCAGTGGAGCCCGTGGATGTCTGGAAACCAGAAGCAAACCCCTATGAATCCGGTAAGACTGCTAGTGCTGCTTCTCGTTCTGCCACCCTCCAAAAGAGCCACCGTGCCAGCATATTCTCAGTTCTGACTGTCAGTGCAATCCCAAACCAAGACCAGTCGAGAAAAAGACTGGGTTTCTGCTCAGCCTGTAATTGAAGGCAGTTTGGGTGAAAGTCAAATGGCATGCTTGCTTGAGGCATAATGTTTGTCACAACAAATACTGGCCAACATTTGGGATCACAAAAAAGTGGACATTTCTCTCTGACTTTTTAGAGGGTCAGAGTTATATTTTATAGCCAACAATAGGTTTAACGTCTTGGATGGTAAAAAAAAATTGTTTTCCTCCATTCAACCTGAATGCTCTGTGACTTAGATAAATGTTTCTATGACTGTAGGAGAGCGCATGACTGTGCAGGTCAAAACACAAAATCGACCAAGTGACTTTTACCCTTCATAGTTTAACACCTAAAAGCAGACTATAACCCAATGCTTATGATTTATTTCAGGTTTCACTTTGAGGGAGCAAGACCCTGTACCCCGAACACCTGAGCCTGTGTCACAGGGAGACCCAAGTATGTCACTATTTGAAGAATTGATGTTGTGATGTGCCTAAAAGTAATCATGTCAAACGCTATGTTGTCTAAGTACACATTCTCGGTAATCGATGCATATTCAATGGATTCCCTTCCTCATATAACAAATGCAAAGAAGGGATTTAGAATCCTTTAAACCCTGGCGGTCCCATGTGTCTTATTTTATCTCAGTCCCTAGATGCTCATGAAGCTGTCTACATGACTATTTTGTTTAATCTAATAAACCTAACTAATTAAGATAAGGCCAAATAGTGCAAATAGTAACTTTGGTTAAGGGCTAGCTGAAGGGAAACAGTGGTACACAGCGGGGCTACTCTCCAAAAATTTCAGGCCCGTAAACTGAATTTAGAAAAATCTAATTAAGAAATTAAGAAAACATTTCATGTTTTTTAGTGATAAATTAGATGTCTTACATTAGTCTCAGAAATGTTGTGAAAGGACCTGAGGTGAGAGCAGTTCATGTGAGAAAATGTGCCACCATATCAGAGTAACAGCAGAAACAGCCATTTGCAGATATTCTATACATACAGTACTGTCATTAACTTTTCTGCTCTTTGCAGATTGTAAGGTAGACCTTGCCTTCTTGATGGACGGGAGTTGGAGTATTGGGAAGCGGCGTTTTAAGATCCAGAAGGACTTCCTGGCTGAGGTGGCACAGACCATCAATGTGGGTGTCGCGGGACCCATGATGGGCATCATCCAATATGGGTAACCTCTTTTTTTTTTTAGGTTTTGTTACTACGTGCCAGTTTGAGTGAAGCACATGTCATGTGACTGAGTGTTGCTTTGTCTGAAGTGATGACCCGATGACGGAGATCAGTCTGAGGACTTACTCCAGCTCCAAAGAAGTGAAGTCAGCCATTGATAAGATTGTGCAGAAGGGGGGCCTCTCCAATGTGGGTGAGTAACCAGCTGGCAGCTGCCAGCCACAACGCATGCCGAGAAATGCAGGTGTGAAAGGGAAAGTGGAGCAATTATCGCATGTTTTACAACCCAGGCACATTTTCACATGCAAGGGTAGAATTAAATCTAAATCTGCTGCAAGACACTGTTTGCTAAATTACAGTCCTGCTTCTAGTAAGCCTTGTTTTTCCTTTGTGCCGACCAAAAACCTTTTGCTTTTACCAGCTCGTGGGGGTTAGCTTTCGGGGAGCAAGTGGTGTTTTTCTGGTCTGCTCGGTGCGTCATCACCACATGGATGTTTAGGAGCTGCTAAATTTTGCATGCTGATACAAATAGTGTTGTTGCCGTTTGCTCAGAAGTGCTCTTTAATCACACACCAGTGGTTAAAAAGGCTTCAACAGTCCACAACAGAACCACTTCAGCTATTGTTAAGACCACCAACAAGAAAATGCTAGACAAAAGGATAGGACATCACTATCATTTGTGATTAAATACTACTCTTAAATACTACTACAGCAGTTTATATAGTTTGTTTTCTGTAAAGTACACAGTCTTGCATGTCATACTTTTATCAAGTGTAAGTAGGTCCCCCCCCCCTCTGCCTTTTTCAAAAGCAGACTTGCACAGAGAAAGATGTAGCGTCCATCTTGTAATCGTCTCCCTCTTGCCCCCTGGTGTTCTGACAGGAAAAGCCCTCTCCTACATCAACAAGCAGTACTTCAGCGACGCCAATGGCAACCGTGGAGGAGCTCCAAATGTGGCCGTGGTGCTTGTGGACGGCTGGCCCACGGACAAGGTGGAGGAGGCCTCTCGACTGGCGCGCGAGTCCGGCATCAACATCTTTTTCGTCACCATCGAGGGCCCTGACGACAGTGAGAAACAAAACCTCGTCGAGGCCAACTTTGTGGACAAGGTAGGATCCCCCAGAGATGCGTCAGTGCTCAGTGCCCCACATCAAAGCGCTCACAGCGTGTGTGTGTATGTGTGTGTGTGTGTGTGTGTGTGTGTGTTTGTCCCCGCAGGCAGTGTGTCGGACAAACGGCTTCTACTCCCTTCCCGTGAACAGCTGGTTCGCCCTGAGGAAAGCGGTGCAGCCTCTGGTGAAGCGGGTGTGTGACACCGACCGGCTGGTGTGCAGCAAGACGTGCCTGAACGCCAACGACATCGCCTTCGTCATCGACGGCTCCAGCAGCGTGGGGACGGGCAACTTCCGCACGGTGCTGCAGTTCGTGGCCAACGTGACCAGGGAGTTCGAGATCTCCGACACGGACACGCGGGTCGGGGCCGTGCAGTACACCTACGAGCAGAGGCTGGAGTTCGCCTTCGGCCAGTACGACAACAAGGCCGAGCTGCTGAACGCCATCAAGCGCGTCAACTACTGGAGCGGGGGCACCAGCACCGGGGCAGCCATCACCTACGCCGCCGAGCAGCTTTTCAGCAAATCCAAGCCCAACAAGCGCAAGATCATGATAGTAATCACAGACGGGCGCTCGTACGATGACGTCAGGGCGCCGGCGCTGGCCGTCCACCGCCAAGGTCAGAGGTCACTTCTAGCAGGGGGGAAAAACCCCATGAGATTTCGAACTGTCAATAAGTCAATAACATGTTTATAGGCCACAGAAGAAACCAAAAATGACACAAGAATAACTTGTGTGTGTGTGTGTGTGTGTGCGTTTTCTATGTGAGTGTAATTGGCTGTCCTTTACTTGGTCCAGGTGTGATTGCGTACTCCATCGGCATCGCCTGGGCTGCCCAGGACGAGCTGGAGTACATCGCCACGGACCCCGACAAGGAGCACTCCTTCTTTGTGGACGAGTTTGACAACCTCTACAAATTTGTGCCCAAGATCATTCACAACATCTGCCAGGAGTTCAACTCTCAGCCCAGAAACTGAAGCCGGACGTGTGCGGGGATGGGGGGGGGGGTTGAGGGGGACACGTGGGGTCTGGACTGTATCAACAGAACTCTGATTGTAGATTTACTCACTCTTTTGCCCCGACGGTGGAGCTGGATTGGCTACAGCGCCACACATTTGTTGAGGGAGGGCTTTGAAATGAGGGGAGGTTTTTAGATTTGGACCAAAAAGAAATTCTAAATTGGAAAGCATTTTGTGATTATGGTACAGCAGTGACATCACATCTGGAGTGTGGAGCCAGCTGTTGTTGTCACAGCACAGTACAGTTCTGATCTGGCACACTGATTTAAAGCCATTATAAATCATTTACATGCTTTTCATAAGTACATAAGTTATCAATGGTCAGTTTTAATCTGGGTTGCCAGGTTGTGGGATAACACTCTAGATGGCATTCATCCTCCAATAATATGAGACCCATTTAATTTTTTTAACCATTTTCATTTGGACTGCTGGATTTGATCAGTTGAGAAAACCTATACCATTTGGTTATCCACGATTTATTTCTCAAGGCATTAGTGAATGATCTACTGACCTCGATTAAGCTCTTAAATACAGTACAATACCTTTAATAAAGAAAAACAATAATATACATAAAGCTGCCTGTCTGGGATAAGGTTTCTTGAAGAGAGATTTAGGTTTGAAGCACTTTTGCTTAAGGCTTATCATACTTAACAAAGCTAATAACATGGTGCTTTTGGGCATTTTCCTGAAAAGACTGTGCACGTTGTCATAGCTGGTGAGTTTGGATGTTTTTGAAGTTCCTTTGAAAGATTGTGATGCTGATGTTGCTTTGGATATGATTCTTCCAATCCTACCAAGGGGTGGCTGTGAATGGCATGAAAACAAGGATGTGGACTTTGCATAGAGTGGCAGCAGATCGAAAAAAGGGCTTTTCAGGAAAGCGTTATCTCATCACTCTGTCCTCTAATAGTGGCTGCTTCTACCGCTGCAGGCATGACTCCATTTTGTTGAAAGAGTATTTATGATTTTATTCCTCTTGTGCCCTGTTTGTACATAAACTTATTAAAAGTCTTTTTGCTTATGATGTTCAGAGAATTTTGGAGTTTCTGATTGAAAAATAGACAAACAGCAGCTAATACGTGCTTAGATTTTGTCAATCAAATTCTGGTACTTTATATGGGTTTTGCCACAGAGATACAAAAACAAAGATCTTGCAAGAAACAAGAAGCTATTCCAGAGCTTTTTTAGAAATTCTGAAATGTTTTTAGTTTTATAGTAACTCAGTTAATCCGTGAGCAGGACAGTACAAATACCACTGAATTTTTCTCCCCAAACTTTTTTGGGCAACAATTTGCCATACGGTAAAAATGAAAATTAAATTGAATAAAAACAAAAAGTAAAGCTTAACTTTGAGAATTCCTTAGCCAACCGCTGTGGTGACAGAAAATCCCATCAGCCGATGACCCAATGATGTTTCAGCTTTCACTTGTTTAAAATAACCAACAGCAGACCCATTCAACGTTTTACAGCAGGTTTTATTTTCAACATACTTCCATATACAAACCAGTGACTGAGAAAATGGCTCATCTGAAGCTGTACTCTCCATGTACATCTTGATTGACTTTTTCCTTTTCCGTTTTTAAAACTTTTAACCGCTTCAGTTTACAGGAAACTGGAATTGCAGGACAATTTTCTTCCCTCAGTGTCGGATGGTTAATTCATTGTTTCAAATAGTCCTAAAGTACTGCACTAATTTCCTGCTAAACAATGGACTACTGCAAATATCAGGACATGATACATCACATTGTAGTAAAGCCTGTCCACACAGCTTGGGAATACTACATATAGTACACGCAATCAATTCAAACAAGAGCAAACTGGCCAAAATTGGTTAGTTACTCCTAAAATTGACATCTAGAACCAAGTCAGAGTTGTAATTATATAACCAAGATGGTTTACTTTGGACACATATGTTTGTTACCTTAATGCGGAAGTGTACAGTTACTTGAGTCAAACAAACAGGCAATATATTTAATGGTCTGTTTCACTCTGCCAGCTTCGTCCTGAAATGCACAAAACTGATTTCCCAACCACACTTATCAAAAATGACACTCAAACTCACACTGCACAGTAAATTTTAAGACTGAATATATATTTTGTTTATTATAAGCATTTGTAATTTTACATCCAATGTTAAAATCAACAACATTGTGAACACCAGCTTGAAATTCTCCACCATTCCCTCCCTCCCTGTTTCCCAAAAAAAGCTTGTTAAAATAACATTTTCAAGACCTTTTTAAAGCAAAGGCACGTTTGTCAATATGGGGTTTTAAAAAGGAAAAATGAAGGCAGGCCAGCAAGCGGAGTCAGTCTGGGAAGTGGAGTAGAGGAAGTGTGAGGCTTCCGCGGCAGCTCCGGCGGGCCTTCAGTTGCCCACGCTCTGAAAAACCTGACTTGGAGTGAGGGGACTGGACCTGGTCCGTGTGAGAGGGAGGGTCGAGGGCCTGAGGGGGGGTGGGGATGAGCGTGAAGCCACAGGGGCAGAAGAAGAGGGCGCTGAAAACCTCCTTTCTCCTTTACACACTGACACTTGTCCTGAGCCTCCATTCAGTGGAGGTTAAATTGGTGTCTGCAGGGGCACTGCGGCCGGTCACACCCAGGCCTGCCTGGATGGTGGGTGGGGGGCCAGAGAGCGGTTCTCCCTCTGGCTGGTCTCCCTGCGAACCCTCTCTGAGGAGAGCCACAGCTTGTTTGAGGCTACCGGCTACATAGTCTGCAAGTCCAACAGGAGACCAGGGGGCTGTGGGAGGTGGGACTGGACCCCTGCGTGGCTGTCCTTCCCCTGCTGGGTCTCTATTGGTCCCTGATCGTGGGAAGCTGAGTCAGAGAGCAGGGCTGTGGGGGGACGCACAGCTCCGCGTCATACAAACACTTTGGCGAGAGCATCTGCCCCGGCGCTGGCAATGTAACATTTAGATGGATGAAATGCCACATCGTGGATTGATTCCTCAAACTTCTTTCTGTGAGCTGTGAACTCCTGGATGCAGGTTTTACTCTCCAGGTTCCACAGACGGATAGAGCAGTCGTGACCTGTGGAGAGGATGACGGGGTAAGGTGCTGTACATCTGGGACTGGATTTATCATCGCCTCACACTTCTACTGTAAAAGCAGTCCATGCTGCTACTGTTGCCTTTACTGTGCCTTTAAACACAAATGTGGCTGAGGGGTACTCACTGCCGGACATGAGATAAAGTCCATTCGGGTCCACAGCTAAGCTGGTGACAGCATCCAGATGGGCCACCATGGAATGAATGAGTTTCCCACTGTTGTTGTCAAAGAACTTGATGTGGCGGTCCTCCTGTGCAGTGATGGTGATGGGAAGAGTGGGGTGGCTGAGGACCTTGTTGATCTGGCAGGGGGTGCCTGGTGAAGAAAAAAATATAAAGCACATATTAGCACATAAGACTACACACAGCAACAGGGAGAGCCATGCACAGAGTATTTCAGACACGTTCTGTGCTTTTACTCTTTATCACCACTAGGTGTAAGTAGAGAACCTTTAATCCACATCCTGTCATTTCAATGAATTTATCAGATTGCGTATTGTACATTCATCCTGCACCATAGTGCTTTATATGCTTCATTTGACTTCAAAAATCTTTTTCTTCTTATGATCTTTGGCCCTCTGCTACAACTGTTAGTGACCCAACCCCTTCAAACCTACCTGGCTCAAGGTCTGATTCCAGATTGAGGACCAGTTGGCGGGTCTCCATGTTGAAAAGGCCAATCTGCCCGTTTGTGAAGGATGTGACCAGGTGAGCTGGTTCACTGCACACCAGATCCACTGAGGAGGGGATGCCCAGCTCTGGCGGAGGCACAAACACAGAACAGAACCATTTAATCATTTCATTGGGAAGGAGTTGGCATAAAGCAACACTGGGGTGCATGACTCAAAGCAGCACTTTTGTTTTCGTTGAACACGGCCAGGGCGGGGGAGGTGGTGTTGGCATCCCACAGTCTGACGGTGCCGTCTGCAGAGCAGGAGAGGAGGCGCTGGTGGGCGCTGCTGTACACCAAACCCCACACCGAGTCAGTGTGTCCACTTAGAGCGCCACGTAGCACCGACGGGTCTGAGACAGATCACAGGACAGAGCAAGTCAGGCGTGTTGCTTCATCTGAACCATCTCCGATTCAAGACAAAACCGCAGCTACCGTAGGAATCATAGGGGTCGATGTTGGGGTTCGGGGTGTTCCAGCATTGGATGGTTCCATCAATCCCCCCGCTGAAACACTGCTCCCCGGTACTGCTCATCACCACACTCAGCACAGCTCCCCTATGATTAAATCCTAATGAATTATCCCTGGTCTTTTTCAACAAATTTCATTAAAAATAAATAAAAACTTGGGGTGCTGCGTTTTTACCTGTGAGCCCTGAATGTGTAGATGGGTTCCACATCTAAAGATGTGCTCCTGCAGACAAAATGTTCATTAGTGGAGCACCAAAGCAAGAGCCAGAGTCCCTCTGCTATGGTCATGTAACGCCGTGGTGAACATGCTATCATCTTAGTCATGGTGCACTTGACTTTAAAGTCCCTCTTGTGTCTATAAATAAATGCACAGAACCACTACTGCTGTGTGGGCTGCAGGGTGGTCACATGACATAACGAGTGTCCCGAGACAGAATTACATCAGGTTTTTGTCACTTTTCTGCAGATGAATCATGAGAATGGTACAAAAAACAACAAATCACACAAGGTACAAAGTAATTCAGATCTTTCTATTCAATAACTTTTTATGTTACATGTGGGAGGCAACAGGAAAAAAAATCCTAACCTGGTTCATTAAAAAACAAAAAAAGTAGAAATGGAAATAAAACGGGTCTGCTCTTGTGAAGAAGAGCTGCTTACTTTTTGGCAGGAGCTGTCTTTTGCAGGTTCCACATCTTGAGCGTGTGGTCCTCTGAAGCAGTAATGAGCACTGGCTCCACGGGGTGAAAGGTCAGAGCGCGGATCCCGTCGAAATGACTCCGCAGAGTGAACTTGGGGTTCCACGTTTTTCTCATGGCATCCTTATTGTTGCCAATCTAAAGAGGGCATCAGAACATAATATTCATTTAAGACATGAAATATCACCTGGAAATCAGAATAAAGCTACAGTTGAGGCCTTTTCTACTGATTGTTTCACATCCAGGATTAGCATGGTAACCGCAAAAACGGAGAATCTTTATCATGTTGAAAATTTTCACAATTCATTTTGACAAGCTAGTAAGGTCCTTTTGAAGCTTCAAAGAGAACTCTTTGATGTGCTTCTATAGTCATGTTTTGTCTCCGTTGCACTGTCCAAAAAGATCATTACAACAGCTCACTGACAGTGGATAGAGAGGCCAACAGTAAGTTTAAGCATGTGATTTAAGAGATTAGTCTCAGATTAGTGGAGGAAATTTAAGTGGAAGACTTTCAAAGGGTTCTTGGGGTAACTAGAACAAGAGGAGTTTCCTGTATCTCTGACAACGCATCTCGTCTCTTGCCACTCACATCATATGCCAGGCTGTCGGCCTCATTGGCCACGGTGAGCCCGGCCAGCTCGCCCAGGCCCAGCTCGCTCTCCATGGCCTCATCGGTGCCCATGATGAACGCCTTCCCTGAGGTGGGTGGGAAAGTAAGCGCCTCAACTGGGGAAGAGAGCATAAGAATAGAAACATGAGCTGTCACAAGTAACCAAAGAAAAAAAAGGAATCGAATCCAAGAATTCAATGAGATTGCTTTTTCTGGGGCACCTTCATCTGTCCGGTTTCCCTCTTGTTCAGTGAAGCGGGCAACGCTGGGCCGGGCCTGGGGGGTGGATGGAGGCTGCATGTGAGACAGGTCCTCTGCATCTCTCAGGTTAGCCAGCATGTTCTGTAGCTTGGACCGGTTGGGTCCTGTTAACAAGTCAGATTAATAGTTAACAACGCAGATATACAGTGCCAGAGAGAGGGAAAAATAAAACAACAGAGCACACAGGCTGAAATAGAAAGCATAAATGACAATGGAGATCAAACATCACTGAAATGGAATGAAAAGAAATCAATAAGTACACAGCATGAGAGAGAAAATGAAGAGGGGCTAGCAGCAGAGATCTTGTTCAAGAAATAGTAGGAAAATGAAGAACGTTTAACTCAGAGAGTGAAGAGAGTCATCCACGAAAGATCTGGATGCTTTTGCTCTCAACAAGACTCAGACTGAACCAAACTTTCACAGCAGTTCTAGAATATAAAAATGAAGTTTTCCAAAGTGTCTGTCAGAGAGCTGAGTGGCACCAGTGTGACGCCATAAACAGCCCTTTATTGGCTGGGCTTAGCCTGCTGACTGTAAAACACGGGGACGATCAGTGAGCGGTGGACAGTCAAATGAGTTTGACTCATATGTGCAGAATCTGACGGCTCTGAGCCGCTGAACGAGACTGAAGTGGGCCGCTATTCAGGGAGAAGGAGTATTCAGTTGAGTCACTTATCCGAATCATGGGGAAAGGCTTTTATTTGCTATCAATTTACGCAAGGCACAAAATTATTTGTTTCTGAAGCATCAACATGGCTGACAGACGGAGGATAAAGATGGTGATCATTATGCTATAATTACTGCAGAAAACACAGAAACAGATGACTGCAGATACTATTACCAGATGGGCTAGAGAAGGACTTATCACAGCTAAGAGTCTTTTTATTCATTCATCTCTGACAATAAACTCTATGGAGATGATGTTGATGTGGACATATATATAAAAGGAATCAAATAAAATAAAAAAACACTGAGTGGGATAGACAAACATGCAACAGGCATTACAGTTTTGGAAGGAAAATCATGACAGCTTCTGTTGGTGCAAGCACTCACTGGAATCTGAGGAGACTTCAGTGTGAAATGTAAAGAGGACAGAGAGACAGAGACGTAACGAGGAGCAGCTAGAGAGGCAGATGAGAAAACAATGAAGATGTTCTGTTTTTGATTTAAGGCTTTTTGGCTGAACTCAGGAAAGTCAGGCTCTACAGAGAGAGGAGAGGGAAGGAGGCAGCAATGCCTGACAGGACTTACTCTTCACCCCCTTTTTGCCCTTGCGCTCCTTTTTGTACTGCTCCTTGAGTTTGGTTATCAGGCCCGGGTCCACGTCCCAGGCCTCACAAATGGGACCTTGCTCGTCCTTCTCTACACAAGGGGAACAAAACCAGACCGAGAGGCTGTTGAGGAACTGCCCTGGTCGAGGTACCGCTGACCTGGCAGAGTGGGTAAGCTGCTGAGACCTCTCGTGTGCTATTACAGGTTTTGGGGGTTTAAGATTTACGTTGCTACTTTGAAAAGGCCACTACCCCGACAGCGGTACTAACTAAATAGGAGCAGAACTTACAGCCTTCTACTGAATAACTTTAGGAATTCTCTTCTAGTGCTACAAATGAGAGCGGTGGGAGGGAGAGCAACACCAAGTGGAGAATTCTTTGACTTTGACAACTGCCCATCTTTGAAATCATAGAGCTATTTAAGCATTAGTAAAGACAACAAAACAAAAACAAAACATGATTCAAATTCAAAGAAAACACCTAAGCTTGGCATCAAATCCATTTTTTCTAGATTAAGTCTAAAGGTCAGGGGAGGGGAGGGGGGGGGGTTCAGGTTGATCTACGTTGTGCGAGTGGAAGACACACTGTGGTCACAGGCTGGCTATGGGAACACACAGTGGAAAAGATCACAAACTATGGGTTAGACAGAGACACTCAACATCATGATTTATGACCACAGCATGATATATGAATGACGAGTATTTTATGAAAAGTCACCAAACTATGAGTGAGAATTACAACCGGTCAGGATTACTGCATTACGAACATGAAACAGAAAAACCGTGTAGGTAAAGTAACTGGATCTGTGGGGTCTAAACTGTACTCGTTGTGCATCAAATTGCAGCTCTGAACAACATGTTCTGTTTGTGATCATGCTTGTCTTACCCCAGTCTGTGCCATCCCCAGTGCCTCTAAACTCCGATGACGTGTCCATGTCTTCAAGGCTGGACAGGAAGTCAAAGTCCTTAAGAGCCTCCTCTGTGTAAGAGTCCTCACTGGTGTCCATGCTAGCTGGTGATGATGACGATGCGGGCTTCTTTCTCAGGATCTGTGGGGTAGAATTAGGGGAGTTCTCTCTCGTTGGACAACAAACACTTGGGCTTAACTGTGCGATTCCAAAGGGTGAGGCCAATTGGTTCCTTACAGTCCTGGAGTCCACGTGGGTTCTGTCTTTCCCCTCGCTATCCTCATCCTCGTCTTCATCGCTGAACTCAGCCGCTGCATTCTCAATGAACTTGAAGGCCTCCAGAACAGCACTGGTGTCAGAGAGCTCAGCTTTCCTGCAGAGCGACACCAACACACAGTTATATTGACAATCTGTAAGTGATTACAGTATTTTGACTCAATTTTTTGTGACATCACTGTCATGTAAAGTATTCATCTTTGTGGTCCTATTTCAATCTGTATCCTGTAAAAGTCTTATGTAAAAAAACAAAACAAAAAAAAACTTTAAGGTAACTTACGCCCTGGTTCCCGTGCCCTTTGTTGCCGAGTCGGTGCCATTGACCAAAGGCTCGTCACTCGTGCGTTCACCCGTCTTCGTGCCTCCGTCCCCAGCGAGTCCTAGCAGGGCTCGGACTCTTTGGGACTTCACATCTAAGATAGTGTCTGTGTAGCCCACCTCCTGCAGGTACCTGCAACAGCATGGATTTCCCCTTATGGTTAGTTAGAATTCTATTAAATTCTTATTTTTCTAAGCGTAATCATGAGCTCATTTCCAAAATAAAAATTCCTTTCTGAACAATGCATCTGTACGGTTCAATAGTTCCAAATTTATAGCAGGAGATGTGAACCTCTTTCTGTGTTATGGTGTGAACGTCTCTGTATTAATGTAGCTTTAAATGAAAATGATCACAAATTTAAAGCTGACCCAACATAGAGAGTGATTTTCAGGCCTCTGCGGAGCAATTAGGCCTAATGTGTTGTCACATTGCATTTGTCTGCTGTACAGCAGAAGAGGAGACATGCAGCTCAAATGTTACTGAGGCCATTACTGAGGGTTGGGTTTGGGGAAAGCATGAATTAAATACAACGTTCACTGTGTGTAAAAATGTGGTATTGTAGTCAATTACTAATACGAACTGTTACAGAAGAGGCTGTCATCCAGGTCCCACTGAACACAGGAAGCACAACTTCTCAGTTAAGAATTAAGGAGGCATTTGGCCAGTTAGCTCTGTTTCCAAGAGAGGGAATAATCATCAAGTCTGTGGCAACTTTCAGAAATAACTGTCAATGAATACATTTGGCTTTAGAGAATCTCGAGTCTCCAAAGCTTCTGGAAATCTTGGAGCTGTTGTGTAAGCAAACTGTTAGCTCTAAAAACAGCTCTGCATATTCAGTGAGTGCAGCTAGTCAAACAGACATTACATGACCTATATTAACTGACATGGGGGCTGCCTATAAATGTAACTGAATGAAAAGATGCAGATTTTATATCAAAGCAGGCTGTCTAACGTCTAAAAGAGTGAAACAGATGTGGAACTCCGATCAATCTAAAATTGTATTTATTTATTTTATTCCAAAACACTGTTGAATGAAATACTTCACTGATACAAAATGGAATTTGTATTAATGCACTGACATCATTTAAAGAAAAACAAAGCCACCAACTGAGAGGGAGGGGTGTTTTGGGCACATTATTGATCCTTCCCTTTACACAGACTCATGAATAAATTGGCTGCTTCATCAGCCGGCATGTTCAGGCAGATGATGTGTTAGGATGGCTGGTGATGTCAGGGATGAAGCCCAGTTTATTTACAGAGGCTGACAGGATAGTGGGACATTATAATAACCACACACCCTTTGGGTACACAGAAGAGGGAGAGGATAAAGAGATAGGATGGAAGAGGGGAAATAAAAAATAAAGGGAAATCAAGGAAAAAGAAAAAGCAGAGCAGATCATTGCTGTGGTTGCCCATGTGAGGGTGCACTTTCCATAGTTATTTAGACCCACAGCTATGTAGGCCCTGTAGTTCAAGTCAAAACCTGTTAGTCTGACAAAGTGACAACGTCGTTCCAGTTGCAATTTAACTAAGGCCTGTCAACACTGTGGCATTTCAATCCAGTTAATTTTAGAGGACTTAGTAGGTTTCTGGGTTGAAGGCAGTTTTCTGAGCTTGGGGGGAAAAAAACATAAGCACTCACTGTCTGAGGAGCTGCCGGCCTTGTTTCCAGGACAGCTGATTGTTAATCGATCCAGAAGACTCGTTTTCATTGGCTTCGTCTGGAGGAGAAGAGAAGGACACAAATCAGGTCTCCACAAAAAGCACACCCTAACAGAGTAAACATGACCATGTAAACATTCCTGTACCACAGTGCCCTAGGCGCATTCTTTTCACTTACTGAAAGAGACATGTCAAATACGGTCATCTATAATATCAACAGAGGGCTAAGAATAAGATTCAAAAACAAAATAATGAACAGCAGCCTGGTGCTTGAACCGCATATTCGGTATCTAATCCTGTAGTCCGACACCTACAAATGGCTAATCTCTGCTCCACCTGTGCCACATGACACGCTAGAAAAAGCAACGATGCGTGGATGCCTCCAGCATCCATTAGGCCACATGCTCTTTGGACCGTCTCTCAACAAACACACACAGATCACACTGAAAGCTTGTTTAGATTTTTAAAAACATATTTTTAGCATGAGCAAAGAGAGGTGATAATAGGATTTTAATTGGGTGAGCTGGTTTATTTGGCGTGGCAGAAAGATGGAAGATCCCTCAAAAAGTGGGTCATGCTAAATTCAGAGGGTTGATGAGCTGGCAGGTGCACCACCACGCCAGCAACACCTCCCATCCCTCTCCATCCCCTTCACCCAACACCTCTCTCCCTCACTTCCCCCAATTCATCAACACTTCAAGGGCTTCTTGCTTTGAACAGCCCTCATGAATAATGATGAGGGGAGCGAAGAGGAAATGTCGCAAACTGACTTAATGATCGAAGAGGACTTAAACACAAGAGGCCAATTAAATTCAAATAATACCACCAAAAAAACCTCAATGTGGATTTAAATGTTTTGAAAACTCAGAATTTAATTTTGCTTGTACTTATCACAGCAGTAAAGATTGCATAATGACTACCGGGTCTTGTCTTCCATGATGACTAATGCAACTCGAAGTGGGTCGAACTAATTTTTCTGTTGATCTTTTTTACCTTGAATACAACACTGAAAAACAACACAGTCAATGGTCCCGTCATTCTGACACAGCACGTTGTAAACATCTTTCTGTGAATCCCAGTAACATTTTTGAGGCCTTGGCTTGTAATATTCATAAGAGGATATTTTTAATGACTGAAGCAACAATTAAAATCAAATCCGCCTGTGCCGTTGTTGGGGGAGAACGGAAAATTCTAACTCAGACGAGAGCTTAAAAACAGCTCTTTCACAACTCGGGCAAGGACACTTTAAGCAATGTATGAAGACAAACAAGATTCAACATGAAAGCAGCCTTCACAAGCACAACCGTCCTGTCTGGGAGGTATGTGAGCTCAGCCTGTGCAGTGATTTAGCGTGAGGAGGGGAAGTAAGCAGTCAGAGATTCTATAGACTTACCAGAGTCGTAGCTCGGAGGTTTCATGTCACCTTGATTTAACTCCGTCCCATATTTTAACTTGTGGTATTTTGCTCTGAAAGCAAAAAGAGGAAAAAGACCAATAAACAAACAGGGTGTGTATAATACTGTGAGATTTGAATGCAGTTCTAACTGTAACTTTCTTAACATGTCACAACAAGGTTAGATTGTAAAAAAAAAAAAAGAAAAGAAGAAACCCATGCCATTTGGTACAATCAAAGCTTTCCTAATAAGACTACTTGTGGTACTAAAGTCTCAACATAGAAATCACCTGAACAATCTATTCATCTGCTTGTCTTATTATCTGATCAGAAAATTTCAAAATGTATAATAGCTGTTTTTTCTGATAATCACTCAAAAAAATATATATATATTTACATTTATTCTCAAAGAGCAAGAAAACACATTTTTATCCCTTACGATGACAATAAAAGTTTAATTTTCTGCATATCTAGTAATAATTTCAAAAACGTATATAATTTGTTGAATATCATAAGACAATAAATTGTAGCAAGAACACATTGAAGTGTCTTTTCAGTGGAGGGTGTTTAGAAGTTTACTTTTTTCTCCAGTGTGGTCACAAACATCAACAACCATTCAAGTAACGCTCACACCAGAGACACCAGTCCCCACCCGTCTACACTAATGCTGCACAACAAGCGACCCCCTTCAAAAATCTAATTCATCTTAAGCAGGGTCTATCCCGCATTCAGAAAGCCATCTCTGATATTGCTTTCAGATACCCTTGGAGACATGACCTGTTGCTAAGCAACCAAGGAAAGTGGTAGTAATTCTGGGTTAAGGAGGAGGCGCTCGGGAGGAGGGGCAATCACTGGTGAAAAGAAGTTAAATATAGATTACAAACGGCCAGAGGAGGATTCTATGCAAAGCAAGCCTGTGATGGTGTTCTTCACAGCGGAGAGCAAATTTTAATTGAACTCTGAGCTCACTGGGAGGATGACAAAGCAAAAAGCCATTTTGAGCCCAAGCGGATTCAGTTGTGCTCAGGCTTCCATTAGTCTAATCTCCCCATTTCAAGATTTTACAGAGACACCTGAAGCCAGGGGTTTTGTTCATTACCCATGTCCGTGTCTCACTTCTTCAGCTCAACATTTTCTAACTGGCATTGATCACCTCACTAATGTTTCTACATTCATGAGATTCCACATGATCTCAGCTCATGGTTGTCTGATACAATCAGAGCCTTCTACTCTTTGCCACAACGAGGTTTTGCACATCCTGTGTGGTTGCTCATACAGTGAGAGGTTTGCCTGACCACACAAAGACAGCATTAAAGCTAACCGATGGGAAATGATTGTTTGTCTTTAAAGCTTTCATTCTGTATGACTAATGTGCTTGACATTAATACAGACTCCAGCACACTGTATCTTTGTTCAAAAGTTCAGCAGTGTGTTACTGGGCAGTCGCTAAACGTTATCACCACCTTTAAGAAAGGGACCTCTTGTGGTCAGGTGGCAGGGCGGTGATTATGAGAACAATGTAATTCTCCTGAAAGGCGGCAGGGACAATAACCTCGCCACGGGCTGAGATAGGTTTACTTTCCTGGCCCGTCCTGTCTTTCAGCTGAGGGCTGCTTCAAGCATCCGACAGTTAAAACAATCGTAATGCCACCAGACATGCACAGCAGCTGGACACGAGGGAATCCTTCTGGCACTCTGCTGAAACCAGCTGAGGTATCAGCCTGCTGTGAGGTGTGTGGGAGCACACCGACCAATTCGGAGGATCCGTATCATAAAGAAAACCTTGCTGCAGCCAGAACCGTCCAGGCTCAGTGAAAGCACAGCTGATGATGATCTGTTGACCAGTGAAGAATGTGCACAGTAGTGGTTTGCCTTCCCATATTTCCCAGAGGAAGGAAGGAACTTATTTTGGGTGCGTGGAAACTAGCTGAGGTACTGAGGCGTTAGCTGTGGGTGGGCTGAAGCATCAGCAGGCGTCGAGGCACTCACCTCTCTTGCTTCAGTGCATACTCCAGCATTTTGATCCTCCTGACAAGGTCCTTCTTAAGGTTCTCCTGGCCTTTCCTTTCCCCCTGCAGGAAGGCAATTTGAGCCTAGAAAAACAAAAATAGGACCGTCAGATCTCATGTTGAAATGGCTGCATTTATAAATAGACGCAGCATTTCAGGAGTTTTGGCATCTTGAATACTCGTCAGCTCCCAACAAAGACGTGACTACAAAGTCAGCCTCTGTTTGGCAACATCTGAAAACATCTACTTCTGACAATGCTGAAATAGATGATGTCAAATCAATATGCGTGGCATGATGGGAAATAAAAAGACCATCTGTACTACTCTATTTTAATCTCACCTCCTCACTCCCCCACGCACCAACCGTCCCTCTCACTCTGCACACCACTGTCTTTTCACTGACATGCGGCAGCTGTTGACGCACTCAGTCTGAATCAGCATTACATTACATTGCTGGGTACCCCCTCCCCTTAATTATCCATTTAAGAGTGAAATCATCCAATGTGAGACAATCGGGGTCATCATTTGACAAGTATCATTATTGCTCAGTCATATGCTTGAAAATATGGTATGAAGGAATGTTAATGGCACATTAAAATAAAGATTCTAAATGGCATTTAGCGTATCTCCAAACTTATTAACTATTACAAAGGCTACAGGAGAAAAAAAATCACTACAATAAAGCTGCTAGCCTGTGATAGACGTAGGCACTTCCAGTCCAGCTCTTCATTAGGATCGCTCTATTTTACAATCTGTTTAAATGGTTTCTTTTTTCTTCCTGCTATGAATATCAAACAACTTTAGATCTGGGATTAAGAACAGCACTTCGAGTCAAACTACTCGCACACCGAGACAAAAACAGAACGCAGCGTTTTGCTAAAAACCACGTTAACCCCTGAAAGGAATAACCACAGCCTCCATTCCCTCTGAACGCAGAGGACAGAGCCTGTTCGAGTGGGCTGAGATCACAGTTTCATTTGGAGAACAAGCAGCACTGCTGCTGCCTGCAACAATGAGTCATGACAGCGCTTCAGTCGGCCTCGTATTTATATGGGCATTTTCCTTCCATCGTTCTCTGGATGGGAACTCATAACAAGCGGACAAGACAATTGGGATTTAGAGCTCTGGTACGCACCGTTTGACAGTGTAAATAGCAAAAAGTTTAGCTGGTACAGGTCACCTAAAAGAGTCTGCTCAGATGCTGAGGAAGAGGCTCCACTCTGTGGATCTTTACAGCCTGCATGTTCCTTTACTAATCTTGTCCCGGCTGGAACTGGAACAAAGCTAGCTGGGATGTTCAAGGAAATTAAAAACATTCAGACGGCTCAGACTTTTAAACAAACTTGGTCAAATATCTCCAAGAGTTTAATGATAATGACACATTTAAATCAACTGTTGTTTCAAGAAACATGGTACATCGCTAAAAGTCTGCAGGTGCATTCACAACCTCCATAGCAGCGACGTGAACGAGGGCAAAGAATGAGCAGAAAATGAAAGCACAGCCCACGTAGTCACCGAAGTGTGAGTCGGCCATTACTTTAACCTGTGAAAAATATTGATTTACCACTTTGGGCAGATTTAAGTGTTGCAGATACATCAGGACGGGAAAAAACAAGAAAAGGTGACCGCTTCAAACTTAGAGAACCATTTTATTTTAACATCTGCGTAGAAGTGGAGGCACAAGAGGGGGCACAAACAAAGCATCAGGAAAGTACTGCACATGGAAAATGGTCCGTGTTTGGGTTGGACGACCCTTTGCAGCTCTGAAAATATCTCACTCTTGCTAAAACGGCTCCAATCTAAATATCGGTGGAGACAAGAGCCTCTGGGCAATTAAACTGCATCACATTACAGGGCCCAGTGTGAACCTCATTAGGCCAAATACAGAGCTACTTTCTAGTGTTGTTCAGCACAAAAATGCTGAGGATGAACATGAAAAAAATAGTCAAACAGAAAGATAAACTAAAAGAGATAACAGCATTTCAACGCTACAGTAAAAGAACACGTCAGTCTCATTGTGAATAATCCACTCCCTAAAATTAAAAAGATGTTCTATGTCACTGTATTACTGCACTACATGAAAGTCGTACAGTATGCTTATTTTAAACCGAGAAAAAAAATGACAGGGTCATTGTTTATCCCTTAAGAAGAAATGTCACAAAGTAGTCACTTGACTTCACTCAACTGCTTTCTCAGTAGAGATGTGTACTGAGCTGAAAGAGCTGTGGACGTGTAGAGTCAGGCCTGCTCCACGGAAAAGAAAAAAACTATCTGATGACATCACAACACAAGGCAATACACACCTGTGATAAGCCATCGTCATCTATAATATCAGCCAGCAATACAGGGTAGTGATCTGGCCCTGTTTGTCTTTTTGATCAAACTACAAAAGAAAACAGATTGAAATGAAGGAAAAGACGTCACTGTAGATGAAGCTCTGCATCTGCTTTGACCGAGGGAGCTGGTGCCTTTTCAATTCCTCCTGCACAAGATGCGCTGGCTCAGGCACCCCTGACGTCCTGTCGTGCCAGAGATAAAGAAGAGTGCTGCTCTGTGAGTCTCTGGCTCGCCATCTCTCCTCTATCAAACATTAACCTTGGGAGGAATGCAATGAGTCAACGCCGGCCATAAAGAGACACAGGAAGCATTTAATTCCCGGCCTCACACTGACTGCATTATTGCGCTGCTGGATAAGGGCTCCTTAGTCCTGTCTGAGGGAGAGACAAGTAGAATGGGGCATCCATCTAGCTTGCTGGGCTTTTCAGAGACAGGAAAAGGAGGCAGAAAAGATAGGCTTAATGCAAGGGGAGGAAAACAAGCACCAGCCACCAACTTTCATGCTCTGATAGGAGAGCTGCACAAAGCTGCCTTTCTTTAAAGTAAAGAAGTTTGCCTAAACTTTTTTCATTTATTCTTTTTTAACCATATCAGGAATTACAAAGATATAACTAATGAATGACCTAAGTGCCTTTTAGTTTGATATTCAATTCCTCTGACTGCTGCAGGGCTTAATGAAAGCTGTTTTAGTTCCCCTTTTTCACCGTTAACCTACATTCAGAGGGTGCGACGTGCATACATCCATAAAACAGAACCTTAGCTGGATTCTCGGTCCATTTCTACTTGAAAAGTGTCTCAAAGAATGACGTTTGTGAGTTGCAGACATGTCTTCTTCCAGTCTTGCTCTGCGTCATCAGCAAAAACATCCACAACACAATGTGTCCATTTAACCCGGGCAGACGGAGCCCTGTGAATAACCCAGTATGTGTCCGCGGCGAGACTGAGCCCACTGCATTGGTGAAGCAAATTCAGTTGATACAAATACAACCGCAGGACTTCAACAAACACAAACTGGTTGAAACGTGCTGGCCTTTGACTGCCGACTGAGCTGCAGGAGAAGTGACGGGGTTGGTGCAAATCCCACATTTACAATGCAAACAGCCCTCTCTCAGAGAACACTGGGTTTACTCTCAGAGTTACCGCAAACCAATGAGAACCACGATGGCCGACTTGATAGCTATCCAAGTACATTCCACACATGCCATTACACTAGTAGCAACAGAAAAAAAGTTACAAAACAACAGAGGTGCTGGGGACTACTATAATGCCACCGCTATAAACACCAATACTAAACTCCTATTAAACTTTATTCTAAACTATATTCAACTTTGAAAATTTTTAATACAGTTTCTGCTTTCCGTTCCAAAAAACTGTAGAGATGGTGGTAGGTGTCAAAATTACCGTGACAAATTGTTTTAAGTGGCTTTCTCAAAAGTTAACTTTGTTGAGATCAGAAATAGAAATCCATATAGTGCTTGACAAGATCAGCACTAGCATCAACATACATGTTTTGTTGCACGTTTTTGTCTCAAACTACTACTAATAAAAGTTGACTCCTCAAGAAATCATAAAATCCAATATCACTTTCAAGCTGAGTCAATGATTTGCAACACTGCAGAGGTCTAATGCATTCAGACTTACATTAGGGGCAGCGGGGATGGTGAGGTAATGTGTCTGGTGCGAGACGACTTTGTACTGACTCACAGAATAAGACATTATGATGTCCACCCATTGTAGCGGAACATGTTGCCCTTTTGCTCTTTAAAAGCAGTCATCCAGTCATTTATAGACATCAGTCTCTGCTCAGGAGGGTGGCTTAAAATTCTCAACGTTCAGACTAAAAACACTTGAATCACAGTAGTGTATGTGCAGTTACTACAACCTGACTGTCAAGATGCTGGAAACAACAAAGCTTAGTTCTTGCCTCCACCAATCCACCAATACTACAAAAGCAGATGGTTACAGAGTTAAATACAGAGGACCTGTAATCACTCCTTCAAACACAGCTGCTGCAAACCTTTTGAGGTCGAAGCAAAAGCAGAGTGGGCCAGAGATCTCTCCTTTTTTTTTAAACCTAGATTTTCCGATACACAAAGATTTGCTTTGATCCCGTCACAAGATTCCACTTAAGCTCGATTTTACACTTGAATGTCGCCTCATGTCAAGTAAAGCGCAGCGCTACGTCACTGCGGCACAAAGTTGGGCTCCTCTTGGACAAGCATGCTCCATACCATGTTGCTGCATTAAAATTACATAAGCCTCAAAGCGCACATGGCTACATGCAGGCAAAGAGCTACATTTTTAAACATCAGCATTTTCTCCAGCCAATACATGGTCACCAGGCTTTAAAGTGCAGTCCTATCAGAACACGACCCAGTGAATAAGATCTGGAATTGCAGGCGAAAAAAAGACGAAGATACACAGGGTGAAGAGTGATGAGCCAGAGACAGAAAACGGTCAGTCTGAGACAGTGCTGGTAAAGTGCTCTTTCTGAGAGGATGAAATGAAGCAGCTGAAGCCCTTTCGGCTGGCCTGCGAGTGTGTCTGTGTGTGTGCAGCACAAGATTGAAAAGCTCAGCCAGTACAGTCTCGATTTTCATTACCTCACTGGTATTTAAGGCATGGGAGATACAACTTAGACATCCATTTTTAAAACCCACACACGTTTCAAAATGACAGGCATTAAGAGTTTACAAAAAAATGTATGTATTACTAACCATATCTCACATAAATGCAAAACAAGATTTCGTGAGAAATTATGCCTCTTTATCACTTAAAAATGGTTATGAATTTACACGTCAACTTAGGGTTAGGCAAAGACTCCATAGAGTATTTTTGAGGACTGGAACACTGCTCCAACACATTTCAGATTGATTCACTCCAAGACAACGGCACTTTGATCTAATGAAAGCATTCATTTACAACTCTGACAGACTGGCTACTTCAGATTTACTGTAAAACCGGAGGAGGGAGGCGACTTTGTGACAGAACCAGGCAGCTGTCCCGCACACCCACGGAACCAGATGAAGGCTGTAAGTGTGAATGGAGGAAGGAGAGAGGACAGTGAGGCAGCTCGAAAGGCTCTGGTGTGAGTCCAACAGGGACAGTAGGGCAAAACTCAGAGGAGGAGGTGTTGGTTAATAAACATAGTTCCCTTGAGGCTCTCATAAAGGGCTCCCATAAAAACGCAAACCGTTTTAGAACGCCAACTATCATCTTTGAGACTATTTGAAATGAGCAGGAGTATGTGAGAATTAGGACAGTGAGAAACCATGCTACCATAGTTTTCTTGAAGAAGCATGAGCTTTTTTTAAATTTTCCCTCTGTGAGGGTGCACGCTAAGACGGCAAAAATAACCGTAGCATGGGGGTGGACATGGTATCGAGTGAGGAATGACGGTGACTCCCATTTCTAAATTTCTCAGTGTGAGTGAATGTGTGTATTTGTGAATGGTTCAGTCCATACTGCCACCACCACGCCATCAAGTTAAATGTGCTTCAAGCTTTGTCATTACTGAAAGTAAACACAGGATCCCAGCAATAACCGGTGTAATTAAGGCAGGATTTTTCTGTTTGCTGCAGTCGACACTGGAAGAAATAATCACAAAACACACAGTCAACTCCCTTTTTTACTTCCAAACGCACATCTTTTGAGCCCAGATAAGTGGCTCTGCACCTCAGTTTTCTCACACATAAAGCCACCTTACACCCCGAGTCACCTTCAACCTTCTCTTGGTGTCAGCTTATCGCTCTTGACAGATACTTCTGGCAAGGAGATCCACCTATGGAGCAGGGATTTCCCCATAACTGGAGAGCTGATGAAGCACAGTGGAGCACTGGCTTGTTATCTGATACAACCTCAGTCATCTGGCCTGGAAAGGATCTGCACTAATACAGTACACCATGGCGACGTCAATTAAATCTATATCACACAAAGAGAAGGTTTTGTCTAACAGATATTGTATACCACCTGTTTGCAAAATCAAAACAATCTGAATTTACTGCAAATATGATTATCATTTGTGCTCATATGAAGGTAGCCAGTTGGTAGATAGACATGACAGAGAGATTATAGATAAACAGAATATTAATCGATACATGATTAATATCTCTACATTTAGTTGCTATTGAGTAGAATTTAGAATAATTTCTGTGCTATACTATGCTTACGAGCAAATTCAAGGGGTCTGATACTACATTTGGCACATAAATGTTTATCAGATTTGACAAAATATGTTAACTTTAACAGCATTTTTGTTTACAGTTGGGAAAGGTAGAATTTTTTTTTATTTTTGCCTTTCAGCCCAATGTATTTTATTCCCAAGATAATGTAGAACAGACAAACAAGAGATGGAACCTTCAACTAAACTCTGCACATCACTCTGATCGAATTCATCAACTGATTATCAATGACCACTGGACTGCAGTCTAATAGTGAATGACAGCAGCCTATGCATTAGGCAGAAATGAGCACAGCAGGTTAAGATGGGCATGTACAGTTTCCGTGCTTCAGTATAGAGGAGCGGCCTCGGGCGTCACCGAACAGGCTAGCTGGACGGCATTCCTAAAAGTACACCTCAGTGGCTGAGGCAAACCTTCATGGCTTTCTTTCCAACGCTCACATAAAACAACTTCTACTCTCTGCATTTAGACAACAACTTAACCAGCAGTAAAAAAATAAAATAAAAATAAGCACAAACAAACTGGGGTGCATGTTTAAATGCTGATTAAAACTGTATGTGTGATGGTGCAAAGCATAAGGAAAATAAGAAAGAGCGTACTATTTGTGCTGAATGACATTATTCACTAAAACACTGTGTCCTCAGGAGCTTTTTATTTATTTATCAAAGACTATTCAAGCTCCTTCAAAAAGCACATCTTTTCTTGCAAACTGTGGTCCTTTCACTATAGTTAATTCACAAACATCCTCTAAAAGAACTGTATACGTAGGCATACCTCAAGGACAGCAGAAGGTTATATCTCATGAGGAAGCTTTACAGTATTTTTTATTTAGCCTTCTTTCTCTGGTTTTGAGCACAACTGCCACGTACACTGAATGATGAGTGTCCCTACTGTCCAAAGAAAAGCAAAAAATGATTATCTCAGTCTATGTACATGCAGACACTTCCTCTGCCAGAGAGATCAGGGGGCAATCACAAGTGAGCAGGAAGTTGTAAAGAGTCTACAGCAAGTCATATTATATCCAACACATAAATGAGGCTCAGGTTTAAGATTCATAGTCGCAAAAACAAGAACTCAAACTAAATTGCACACCCTTTTGCCGCCACAAACAAACCACCCAATAGGCTATGTAGCAACCTCCCAGCTCTTTGCCGCAGCGGCTGTGGCTTCTCGTCCGATGTGCTTGTTTCATGACGGCAGACAGGAAGCAGAGTACACCAGTGGCAATGAAAGTGCTGCATGAAGCTGAGTCAAAGCCCTATTGCACTGATCGGGTAGACGTCATCAATGTACAAACAATGCAGTGTTTCCCTCAGCTCCCTTTATTTTCTCTGAGCTCATATACCCCATGGAGTTGCCTCTGGCCAAAAAACATTTCCCCCCTTTCTGTAATTTGGGAGTTACAAATTACATTGGGGGGGGACAAACTATGTTGTCCTACCTTTCTGTTTACCTCTTACAGCATTAGAGAGGCCAGGGTATGTAGAATCATAAATAAAGTGACCACTTATATCATTCTATCTTACACATTAAAAAATGTAAATGTCAAAACAAAGCAAACACACCAAGATTTGGTAAAACACTCCAAGTTGAAGAAAACTAAACCAAACTGGAGCTTCCTCTGGGAACATTCTGGTTCATGGCAGGAAATCCGATTGTTTTTGCCTTTATGTAAAAAGCTAAAATAACTTATCCAGCTGCCTATCTAATAAGGATTATAACTACTTTCCAAGACAAATGTCTAGTACGGAGACCGACAATGGATTTTTGTAGAAAAAGAGCAACAATCTAAATGATTTTCTCAGGAGTAGCAGTGACATGGCAGCTAGCTTGATAAACAATACTGTATCCAGGCTCTTGAATAGCATGTGCTGTCTGACAACTCGCAGAAGGCCAAATGCGTTAAAAAAATATCTCTTAATTTTCCCCTTCGTGTATTTCTTCAGGGGTTTTACGTACAAATCCGTAAAATATGGGCGGTTGGTAGGACAATTATCAGTGACAAACAAACGCTGTGTTGCCGCACGTTTTGCGCTCAACAGTAACTACTATGCTAATACACGTAGTAGTTATTTGTAGCTGCTTGAACGGGTCAAATTGAATAAGAAGTACGAGTACAGCTCGTACTCAAACCCCTGCATTTAGGAGACGTGTTAAGTGGTTTCACTGAGAGTTAAGAGGACGTAAAAAGTCGTCGTGCAGCTGGGTCAGAGGGGCGCTGCAGCTCATTTAGCTAATGAGCTAAAGCTAACAATTTCGCCTGGTGACCAGAACAATCAAATACAGAAACTCAGCGCGACTTACTATTAAAGAACAGCGTAATGCCCCCGCGGGGACACACATATGGAGCGTAAAATTAAAATGCGATGTTTTCACCTGCAATTCAGCCCGCTCCACCTCCCATTGTGCTCTTTCTACTTCGAAACGGGCCCATTCGTGCTGCAGGAAGTGCAAGATCCCCGGGATACTGTATTGCGCCCTCGCCGCCTCCCCGGCGTCGCCATCGGGCAGTGGTCCTTTTCCACCGCCGGGTAAAACAGAGTTGTTATTGTTGTTGAAGAACACGCCGGGCCCTGCCTGTTCGTCCATGGCCGGGCTCGGTGGAAATTTCGACCCGTTGTGTCGCTGACTCAATGTGTTAGATACCAACGGAAGGGCAAAAAAAAATCTATCAACGGCGATCCGTCTCCTCGGCTTGGGGGAATGAACTCACTTTCTGACAGCTAGCTGTCACCGAATGACGTCAGTAACGAAGCCGCGCCCACAACATGTTGGCTGGGGACGCTCGATTTGCTCAGTGGATTGCCCGGAACTTCAGACTCAAACATAGTACATTCAGATCTGTAGCTTTTAAACATGATACATTTATATAAATTATGGAAACAGAAATGGGGTCCAAGAAAATTTATTCCAATTCAAAAGACTATGTCAAATTGTACATTTAAACAAATCTGCATAATTGATGGTCACATATTGTTAGCAGTACACAAAGAAGGGGAAACTTAGAAACAAAACAATATATGATATGATCTTTAGATGTATTTATTTTCCCTATCTATTTATTGGTCTATTATCTCTAAATCAAGCAGGAAAAAAATGCATTTACTTTGTTAGTTTTAATATAATCTCATTGCTGGCTCAATATGTTATCAGGACTAATCTCGTTTTGTCTTTGTTCAACAGCTAATGGGGGAATGTTGAAAACATTATTTAAAAGCAAAATCATTTTTGAAAAAAGAATTTAAAAGTCTACATGTTGAAATCAGGCAGCTCCAACAAACAAACAATTGTTGTAGCAATTTATACAGACAGCATGACTATCAAGTTAAGACCAGCTTTTGAAGCATTGGGAGAGAATATCATGGGGAAATATGAAAAAGTCTGGATTCGATACATTCTCCAAATCAAACTTGTTGAGATTATAAATCAAGTTTTTTAAGTGAACATTCAATGTCTTTTTCATGGTATTTACATAATTACCATTTTGACTTCAATAAGACAGCTTATCTATTAAAACCAATGATGAGATGTAGCATAAATAAATACATTTAATCAACTGTAGTACATGTTGTACACTGTTGACAGAAAAACAAAAAAACAAAATTTTGAGACTGTACAATGCACCTTTTTTCCTTCAGAAGAAGCTAGTTTTTAGTTTAATGGTTGGTGCAGCTTGCACAGTTGGCTGAGTTTGCCTGGCTGCAGCTTTGGCTTTGCTGCTGGCCTGGTTGGCCCGTACAGCAGATTCCAGACGGGTTTTAAGCTCAGGTGCAGCACCAATTACTATCTTGAAGGCAGCTGGATAGAGGGGGCCAATCCGCATTAAGTTCTGAAGGGCAAAATCATGTAGGCCTTTGGAGATTTGGGATGCAGAGGAGATGGCATTTTCATCCAAAAGATAAGAGATCAGAGTTGGTACTAGAAGAGCCAGCAGCTGAACCCCTGTTGAATAAATAAATAAATAACATATTAATGGGACGCAAATACAAAAATAGTACCTTCAAGCACATCTTGTGGAGGCAGTCATTTTTATAAAACAACATACAGTGTGATGTAACATAAAGTCAAAATCAATACTAAAATTGACAGTAAACCAGTGCAGTGATTCTAAATTTAGCCTCTAATGCTTTAATGCTCCTGACGGCACACATCCAGAGGCACGGAGCTAAACACTTTAACAGACCTACTATGATGGAGCAAAACACTCTTGTGAAACAATTATGGTACTTTATCGGCCCATTAGGAAGAGGCACACTTACGGTTTTTCTCTTCACCCATGCTGACCAGATTTTCCAGGACCCTGATGCCCTCCTGGACAGCTTGCAGCTCTGCAGCAGTTCCCGGTCGACTGCGCTCAACCGCCTTCAGCTTCTCAACCATGAGTGGCGCCAAGGCGTGGATGTAAGGAGTGGAGAGGGCACGGCTGGAGTGTTGAAACACTGAGAGCAGCAGCTGATAACAACGGGCCTGAACCTGTGGCACCAAAAGCATAACATCTCTCACATGTCAGCGCTTCAAAAGACTCCAACTCTGTTTATACACATAGCTGCTTACCAAGGGGTCGCTAGAGTTGAGGCCGTTTCTGAAGCGGTCCATGCAGCCCTTCTGCAGGACGACTACACCTACGAGTTCAGTGCTGGCCGACAGAAGGAACAGCGTGATCGCTGTCAGCATACTGACCTCATCCATGTCAGGTCGGGACTCATCTACAAAATTACACAAGCAAGCAACCAAACATTTCATGAACAACAAATCAACATTTTCTTCTCAACTGTCAAAAACAAACAAAAAAAAAAGTGCAGAGAGGCCACAATGTTTACCAGGCTGCGAGTACTCAAGTACAGATGCCAAGCTGCTCCTCACAAGGCCAGTCCACTGCGTCTGAATGCTCTCTTCGCGGGCCATTGGTGAGGTGATGATGGTCTTGATGCCCTGCAGGGCAGCTGATACAGGAACAGGCACAGAGCTGTCACCCGTCTTAAGTGCAGTTTCCCTCAGAACCCCAGTGATCAGGAACAGCACAGTGGGTAGGATAGTCATGCTTCCTGTAAAGGCAAACAGAAATAGTGACAAACAGAAGGGAAAAAAGCATTCTCACTTAAATTAAATCTCGAACACACATTTAAAGCTGTTCCTGATGCCACCTATGAGTAGCTGTCGGGGAATTTAACTGTACACAGACCTGAACAAAGCAGACTTTTAGGTCCAAACATCAACATGTACATGTTTGTTTCTGTACTGTGTGTGGATTCCTATCATATTTTCTGTGGTGTGCGAGTGTGGCCGCAGGCCTCACCAGCGGGAGAACAGAGCGAAGGCAGCTCTGCCAGGATAGAAACTGTGTTTGCCACCAGGCGTGCGCTTTCATCGGATAATCTCTGAGGCTTGAGAGGTGCGTGGCTGGGTGACTCTTTCACTCGTGAATTAAGCTGTGGTAGGTGACGAACCAGGATGAACACGAGCAGCTCCATAGCTGCGTACACTAGTGACTTGCCGGGGACGAGCTCCCCCGTGTCTCCCCCTTCCCCCTGGCAGGCCTTCGAGTCTTTTTCGCCTTCTTCCTCTTTGCCTAAGCAAAACAACACAGTGACCTAAATAACTCTAGCCACCACAAAACTAAAAGAACTCAGACAACTGTCCTATAAAAATTCAAAATGCTAGTGATGCTCAGCCTCCATTCAGATGAAGCCAAACATAAGGCAACAGTAGCGAGTAACGCTGTGTTCCTGACCTTTCTTGGTCCGTTCTTGCTGAAGGTGCTCCTGTGCAGCCCTGATGGTCTCCTGTACTACAGCAGTGACTTGGAGCTGGACTGCCGGGGGATCCCGGGTCAACAGCAGCCTGTGGAGCACATTCAGGAGCTCCACTGCCAGCAGCTAAAACAGGGAAATAAATAGTTACAGCAATGCTACAGTGACATGTGATTATTGTACAGATTTACATCTATAAATAGAACGCTTTTTTCCATACAGCGTAGTGGAAATCTATTCCAGTTGAATGTCTACAACTCCACAAACAGGAGATCTATCAGAGCTGGAAACAGATCAGGTTTCACACAACGACGTCTCAAGCAACAAGGTTTCTATAAATCTGACACATGTGCATGATTATAACATATTTGCACTGAGTTATCAGTGATGTATTAACTACTGCCAGCTGCAAAGAAAATAAGACTTTTCAGAGTATCTTCTAGTTGGCTGAAGGTTGTCTGTAATTGACATTTCATAATTCATTGTCTGTCTTTAGCAAATAGCTTCTACAGTCTAAAAAGCACAAATCCTGCCTTTAAATATGTGGCTAATAAATATAGAACACTATTCCATAACTTTGTGAGTGCTTTATTTCAAATTCTTTCAATATAAAGAAAAAAAATCAATGTCTAATTTAGTAATATTGAATCAATTTAAACCTAACGTTGCAATAAAACAAAACTTCCACCTTTACCTGATCTTCTGCAATATGTGTCTTTGCACATGGAGAGTCAAGCAGAGTACACAGGGCTTGAAGGCAAGAAAGCACATGCTCAATGGGTTCCTCTGGTCGGGGGAAGCAAAGAAACTCTATACTGACACCTGAGAGAGAGAACATGGAAATGCACTTAGGGTGTGTCCACTTTTTTTTAAACCACTACCAGTCTTTCAGAGTCGGCAGATGATAGATGGAATAAACACCGAAAAAAGTAGGCAAGCAAAACCAGAAGTTGATCTTTTTCCTCTTTCTTTTCATCAGACCTATTTGTCTTTGCTTCATAATACAGGTGAGAGGAAGTGCCTTTACCCAACATTAGATGCATCCTGTCTTTGACAGACTCTTCAAAGGTCTTTGTTGTGGAGAAGCCTCCCTGTGGAAGGCTGGCCGGCTTGGAGAAGGCTGAAGAGACCTCCTCTTGATCTTCACCTGCTCCAAACCCAGTGCTGTTGAGCCAGAGGGCCACTGCATGCAGGACTGGAGCCCATGAGCTGCGGTAGTGGAGTCTTGCTGTATCTATCGTCTCTGGGGTATAAAAGGCTCCGCCTAAACACACATGCAGATTGGGGGGGCACGGTTTACTGCAACCATCTCAACTCAAATCAAAATAGCTTTTTTTGTTAAATATTCTATTACACCACCAGTCAGTTGCTGTTAGCGTAAAACATAAGACACAGTGCATAAAAGGCTCAGACAAAGGGCTCAGATATCTAATCTGAACTCTTATTTGGCTGTAATCAAAATTCAAACACAATTAGCGTGTTGCAAACACAGATGACATTTTGATTATGAAATTTGATGCAAATCTTAAAGAAAATAGGGAAAAAGTTGAACAGCGTGCATACAGTTAAGCAATTGCATGTTATATTCTATAGCTGAGAGAAGGAGATACAGGAGAATCTGTCATGTACCCTCAGGTGGAAGCTGACTGGAAAATTCAGCTGGCAGAGTGAGCAGTGCATAATCCCGCAGCATGGCCAGCCAGAGGCGGCTGAGCGATGGCAGCTCTGGCTGCACCAAGGTGATGAGACTGTCGGGAGGAAGCACGTCAGCTCCCAGGTCCTCCTCTTCCTCGTCTTCGTCCCCATTTCTAACTGGTTTGGCAGGCTTTGACTCCGCCTCCTTCTTGATCTTCATTGCCATCACATAAACCTGCACAAGAAAGAAGTGTGCTATTAACACTTGTTTTATAACCAAAACGGCGTGTTCCAATGACCCTCAGTCCCACCTCAGCCCACGCCTTCAGCACAGCCAGTTTCTCCATGGTGGTGGCGCTTTCACTGTACAGCTGGCTGGACGAGCCTTTCCCAGCCTGCACCTTGTCCAGCGAGGACACCAGCAGATTGTGGACCCGTCTCAGGTCATTCAGGTCACTGACTACGCCACTACCGATCCACGTACTACACACCTGTGGACACACAGAGGTCAAGTTAATGAATGATCAATCCAAGCCAGGGATTAGTTCTTTAATGTTTTTTTTCACACCAAGTAAAAACAAAAAAATAAATTAAATAGGTTTACAAAATTGCAATACGCATCAGGTTACTCAAGATTAATAGCCATATCACTTAAAAGGATGTGGACATTAAACAGTTATTTTCAAATCACATAAGCCTGGATTGTTATGGTTGTAAAAGCAAGGCACACATTTATAAATTATCATTCGCCAGAGAAAACTCACTCCTTAATAATAAGTCAACTGGGTCAGTCAGGAAATTTGACACTGATGACCTCAAGGAGGTAGTGACTCTTTGCAATAGGTCATTATATCCTCCTAGGTCCTCTTTCTCAAGGCTACTGGAAAATATAATATATCAAAACCAAACTATTTTATTGTGTGTGAGGGTTGTTGGCAGACAAAGCAAAATGTCTTACCTGGCATGCTTTCGCTGTGATGTCAGAGGGTGTGTCAGGTGAGAATGCCGGTCGAAGGGCAGCTCCAACCTAAGTGCACAAACAGTTCTGTTTTGTAGCCTGTTTCTTTTTTTCTGTACTTTACAAATATGAGACATCCAGTGCATGATGCAATTTAATGAGTAGTTAACTCACATTGGCCTGGTATTGTTCCAGGATAACATGTCCTGGGAACTCGGGCTCTGGGACGGATGCAAACTTTTTAATGATGTCTTCCAGTGCCTGCAGGCCAGCCATCCTGAGCTGGTTACTGTGGTCTGTGGCAGCCATAAAAGCCATTCGGATGAGGTCAGATAAATGGAGTACCAATAGATCTCCTGAACAAACAGATATGGGGAAAAAACAATGACATGTGGGTCAGAAGTGACATCTCATTTCAGAATTTTATGAGGAATATGATTAAAGTGAAGCAGCCATAACAATAAAAAATGATCAAAGCTTTTAGCTTGTTGAGGAATAACAACAGAATAATGAACAGTTTTCAGAGTTTTAGTGTGGCTGGGGAGATTGGGTTTTATCTCAAACACACCGTTCCAGGGATTAGCTGAACACATCAACTATCACAATAAATTTGACTTTGCTGTTCTTAGAGCTTCAAATTCAACCCGCTATCTTACGACTCTTTAAGCTTCTCTGAAATAAGAAGACACGCTACAGACTGTATAAATACAGGTTCCTCTGCCAGGGAAACCTCAGACTTCTGCTTACTCATATAATTCTTTGTTCCATCTTTACACAAAAAAGCTCAAGGATCAGCTTTTCCTAGGAGTTAACCCAAGAACTGTCAGAGGAGAAAGATGATATACAGTATGAACATTCTCTACATTAACCATAACAAAAGATGATGGTTTAGAAAGCAAACACAAATCTTTAAGAAGACACTGAGCCCGTCCTGAGCGGTACCTTTGGGGTTCTGTGCCTTTGCAGAGCGTGCGGTAGCCAGATCAAAGTGCGCTTTGTCTGCATTCTCACACAGTAGGATGATGCGGCACAAGCAGTCTGCGGCAAACACACGAGTGACCCAGCGAGGAGCCACAGACGGCTTGGATTTGTCATCATCTCCCAGGCCTGTGAACATGGTGTCATCATCTATCTCGTCTTTTTTCTCAGAGTCTTCCTCATCCTTTTCCACCTGGAATGTAACCGGGCCCCCAACATCTGAAAATGGAGATGGACACAGGAGTGAAGCAAAGCTCTAAAGATTTAGATAACCATGTCCTTTTGAAGACTTACCTGTAGTTGCTGCAAGGACGTCCTTACATAGTTTCAGCCAATGAGAAAGTTTCTCCACAGCAAGAGATGACAGCATGTGACCTAGTGTGTCATGGATGTCAGAACACAGCTTCCTGTCCGTCTCCCGGTCCAGCATCCCAAACAAAACACCTTCCAGACCAGTTTCTGTGATGTTTAGATCTGAGCCACACACCAAATAAACACAGTCAGAGCCACAGCGTCTCGTTCAGATGAGTTAAAAATGCAAACTGTGATCTGCTATCATAATCCAAACTAGAATGTATTCTCATGAAAAGCTTTATGAGGTTTATTCATCTCACTGATTGCAGTGCTGTCTTTGCTGTCTCCTGCTCTCTTTGCCAGGCTCATGGCATACTCGCAGACCTCTGCAGCCTCTCTCTGGGCGAGCTGTCGTAAGCAGGCCACTGCAGCTCGACGCAGCAACAGGTGAGAGCTGCACAAGTGCACCTGCCAGAATCCAGTGGTACATTAAGAAATCATGACTCAGATTAGCACAAACAAAGGCAACCACACTCATAGGTCTGAACTTGTGTCTTACACAGAGACACGGCACCAGGCTGGACAGGTTGACATGTCGGGGGGCGAACATATGCAGCTGCTGTAGACATGAGATGGCAGCTGCCTGGACAAGGGAGTCAGAGTGGTCCTGCATTATGGCACAACCGACGAGGCACGAGGAGCGGATAGTGGAAATAGTGGCTCCATTTCCTAAAAAAAAACAACAATGCTAATTAGAAAAACAGACATGAATGGATTTTTCTTGTATTAAATGGCACATTATATGTCCCTTGTATATTTCAGTGTACAATCATCCATCTTTAGAAGGGCTAAAACCAACATGCAAAGACGGTTTATGTTAGACAACAAATGTTAATATATTCTTCATAGAACAAGGAGAGCCTGCTTTATTCTAATATTTCCAATCTAAAAAAAATCTTAATACTCAACATTTTTTAATATGGAGCAGCTAGTTATGTCAAAATTACACTTTCATGTGATGGATTACTGAAAAATACCTGAATGCTAATTCTATTTTTTTGCATTTATCTCTCAAATAACATAGAAACATGGCACATACAGCAAGTTATAAAGTCTATATCTGGAGCAGTTCTAGTTTTACCACAGCAGACCCAGATCTCAGACAGAACAAATGTGATCAAATGCTCTCTGCAGTGTAATCATTTTTCTTGTCTTTGAAGATTCTCCCTTCCCATCTTTTCTTCATCTTACAATGTTTTACCTTATGTTCCAAAAAAGGAATTCAGGAAAAGAAAAAAAAACAATTGTTTTGACTATTGACCTGCAGAGTTACAATTCTTTTCACTGCCACCTGCTGGCTGAGAAATGCTCTCACACAAGGCATGAAAAGAAATGTCATTGAGAATCAAGGGTTCCACGAGAGGGCTTTACTCAAGTTACCTTGTAATTCTGGTCCCACGGTGGTGATGAGAGCTCCAAGGCAGCGGCCCAAACACTGGTGAACCTCTGTGTGTGAAGGTGGCACAGTGAGCAGCAGAGTGAGAACCAGGGACAGCGTGGGCTCCACATAGCCTCTGTACATGGGACCGCTGGAATCCACAATCAGAGCCAAAGAGTGCAGAGCCCATGTCTGGTTCACAAAAAAAATAGATTAGTTTTAAAGCTCACTAAATAATAAAACTATGAGTTAATGTAAATATCCATTTCTGCAGGGTTGTTTTCTGTACCTGAACCTCGTGAGAGGACCCATCTTGGGCAAGGGCCAAGAGGATGCTGACACTGGTCTTTAAGTGCTGGCCAGAGCCAATGCCTCCAACATATCGATGCAGACAACCAAGCGCCAATGAATGGCCGGTCCTTGAAACAACATCCCGGGCTGATTTTAGTCTACAAAAAGAAGACAAAGTGTATCGTTTTCCTGAAATAAAGTATTTAAAATAAAATATTTAAATGGCGTTATTCATTGGTGACATTCTAGTGCTTGGTCAAACAAAAAGGAGAATAAAAAGCAGAAAAGTACAAAAGTACACTCAGAAATAGGATTACTTGTCAAAGCTGGTCTGTGCCATTCTGGCAATGAAGGTTGCCTCTCCTACAACCTGTGCCATCCTGCCTAGGGCCTCTCCAGCAGCACAGCGCAGGATGGGATTGGGATTGTCCAAAGCCCCCATCACCAGGGCCAGGGCTGACTTGCGCACCTCCTCTGGGCCCAGGGTGCTCTTATTCTCTGCCAAACCCTTCAGTGGAAGAGAAAAGTTCTTTTTTGTGTGTAAACTCCTAACATTTTTTGTAAGAAGAGCGTAGGCTGACTGTTTTGCTACCTTGAGGGCGCTGAGCACTGCAGTAAAGATGTTGAGTTGTACGGCCTGCTGTCGAACGCCTTTAGCCTGCTTTATGCACTCTGCAAAGTGGTCGAGCATCTGCAGCCTGAATCAAATAGAATTGAAATTATCAACAGCAAGCACGCCAGAGTAAGTTCTACAGCAGTGGGCCATGAATCATTAAACAAAGAGCATTCAAATCTCTTTCTAACAAGAAAAAGAAAACCTTCACAGCAACCGGTGTGCTGCTCACCTGTGTTTAAATGACACATGAGGGAAAACCACACCGAACAACGCCACTGAAGCATCGATTACTGACACGCCCAAAGGCAGAGGCCCCGGGATGGCCTCGCCAACAGGCACACGCAGGTAGATCGAGGAAGGATCGTGTTCCAGAGCTCCGCTGCCAGACGCGCTGTTGGGCTGCAGCTATTTAGGAACGACATTACAGAGGTGTCAAAACACAAACTGTAAACCAAACCGTAAACCAAACTTTGTGAACAGCCCCAGAAATTCATTTTAAACTGGTTAATATTTGACTAAAAGATAGCCAAATATTTTAATAACCTATTTTCAACACAATCACTTTCAAAACATGTACGTTTTCCATCATAATTTGATTCAACTAACTTGATCCTCAATGGACTTGTGGTCGGTTTCTTGCAGCCAGGAGCCCATGAGCACACTGTCATCGTAGTGACACAGGGAGCGCAGCAGAGAGGTGGTGGTGTTGGCAGAGTTGTCAGTCAATGTAAACTCTGCCACCAGCTCCCTCAGCAGGGCGTTGAAGCTCCCTGAACAGGGAGGTTAAACAATTTAAAAACATTTACAGCTAATCATTTTCAACCTCTGTGAAAAGAAATCCATTTAAGTCTGTGTTACCTTCATAAGTCTTAGGAGGCAAGAGAGCCAAGATGTCATACAGCCTGAGCCTCACCATCGCCGCACTTGCTTTCAAATGAGCACCATGGGCCTTAATTATGGCAGGGACACTGAGAAAAGGACAAAAATATCACAAAAAGAAGAGGAGAAACAGAAAATAATCTAAAAGAAATGCAAGAAATAATCCTCATACAGAACAATAAAAAGATTAATTCACACTGTCTTTCGTCGTCAAACGAAAAAAAAACTCACTGAGACATCATGGTCATTGCACATTCAATGGGAGTCATTAGCCTGCGGATTACATCTTCTGTCAAAAGCTCAGGACAGTGGGCCACGAAGCTTCGCATGGCTACACAAAAAAAAAGAGCATTTGTCAGAGGTGTGTATCCTGACATAATAGATCATGTGCAGATTCATAAAGCACTTGATTCTCACCGCACAGAGCTCCGGCTCGACCCTCCAGGGTGACCTGCCAAGTGAAGGAGTCTCCTCTGGCCTTTTCTGCCTCCAGCTCCTTTTGGGAGCGGGGAAAAACGTTCCTCCAAAGCAGCAGCATTTTAGGGAGGTGGTATCGTACAAGTGAGGAACCTGGAAGCACAGAGACTCAATAAGTATTGGTGAAAGAGGGAGCTGCTGACCCATCCCAAAATGATCAGGTCTGGGAGACTGACCTAAAGTCATGAGCGCCCCCAGCAGCAGCCAACCAGCTTGTGTGCGCTGCAGGGACAGCCGACTGTTCTGAGCTGCTGTACGCAGGAGATCTTCAGCTATACTGACCACCAGCTACAGGGGCCGAACACAGACCGTTTATTCTTTAAATGCTCTACTCAATATGCCGTGCAGAAAATGATCTATAGGACGATCTACCTTGCCCTTAGAGTGAGGGATACCAAGGGGACATTGGTGTACACCCCCCAGTAGAGCTGCCATTGCAAAGCTGTATCCGCTCACAGCCTCAGGTGAGCTCTTCAGGTTGTTGATTCTCTCTGCGCAGCGGTCCAGCAGGGGAGACAGCTGATAGGGCAGGGCCACAGCAACGCAACGCAGGCACCACGCAGCTGCTAATCTTGCCGCCATGCTCGGGTGCAGCAGCACTGAAGACACGGTTTCAAGAAGCCCTGAAGTAGAAATCATGAATCGTTAACGTTCATTTTAGCACCAGCAAAAGGAAGGGGATTAAAGATGTACCTTGTTTCTGATTGAAACTGAATTTACATAACCAGTCTGTTCAGTGTGTCTCACCAATAGAAGGCTCCTGGATGAGCGGTGAAGCTGTGGCACTCAAGCTCTGAACCAAACTGCCCAGCTCTTTCAGGGCACACACCATAACGTGCTGACTGGCAGAAACGTCAGCTGCCCCAGCCTTGTTCTCACCACTGATGTCGTTTACAACCGCCTCTGGAAAAGGGAGGAAGAAAGAAGGAGCAGAAATGTGTTGGTAAGAACAAATCAAGTCTTTTAACATTTGAAGATCACAACTAAACAGTTAAGAACTCAACAAAGAAAAATTAAAAGGAAATCTCTGCAGCATTAATGGACTTTGAAATAAAAACCAAAATCACTTAAATGTTTTTTTTTTACTAGTTATGATCCTTTGCGATGATTGCAAACTGTATCCCATAAGTTAACTTATCAAAGGTCTGTAGCTGCAAAATCTTTCATTTTAAAGGACAGCAATTTTTTTCACAGTTAGGCTCAGAAATATTTGGACACTGTCACTTCTTTGGATTTAGTTACCAGCAAAAACATTCAACTAGATAGTGAATATAATGAATATGGGCCAAAAGTAGGCTTTAAGCTTCGCCAAAAAAGTACATCCTATATAAAAGTTTTTTAAATGATAGAGACTCTATGTGAATATACCTATTCAGAAAAAAAAATATATATATATATATATATATGGTTAAAAAATACAACTCTTTTCCAAATTTTATTTTAAGAAGAATCATTTTCAAGCAATGGAAATTACTCTTTACTTACTCATTTATGATGTTTTGCTGAAATTTTACTGAAGCGATCTTTAGTTTCTCTTTGTTTGAATCTTATTCATACCATTACTGCAATAAGTTGAGTAAGAGCTGAGAGTTTTTCCATGATAAACGTCAGAATAAATTAAATCAAAATCATATCCGAGTCTCAACAAAACCAGTGTTAGTGTCCAAAATGTTCTTAGTCTCACTGAATGTAGTTTAGAGCTCTGAGGTTTTCTCTCATTGAAAAAGAGTTAAAAACTAAAGGATACAATTTAAAGAGCGTAAATAGATGCTTTGGGAACTGAAATCCTCTGAGCTCTATGAAGAAAGCAGTCAGAAGATATCACATGAAAGAGAAGGTCAGTCAGATCACTTCAAGAATAGACCTAAAGCTACTTCTTGAACAGTAATAGAAGAACATACAAGAGGCACCACCTTGTCTTTTTCTTCACTTCCAATGAGCACAAACATTTGCAATGATTTCATTTCAAGACATCTCAGAGGTACAGGTGCTGTGAAAAAGCTACTGCAGACAGTGTAGCATAAGGACTGTGGGACCGTGGGTCACTATTTGTGTGACACCGACATTAGACTTCTTTTTCAAATTGAATCCTAACACTAATAACACTATATTGTTCTCTAACATCCACATGAGATAATAGGTTGCAAAGCAAATCAGAGTAAGAATCATCCTTTTTTAATAAATGTGGTTTCATGAATGACTGATGTGATGATGTGAAGCCAAAAGAAGAAAAAAAAAAAAGAAATACCCGGGTAATCTTACTAATACAAGTTCTAGGTATTTCGAGGAAAATAAATTCCTCCTGTTGTGAGTTAGCTAATTCAGAGGCGCATGCTTATTCTTTGTTGTTTTGCCTATGTAAGCCGGAAGTCAACAGTCAGAAAATTGTTATCCGCTCCTTAGGCATTGTAAGGCAAAAACTAAGTGTGAGTTCTCTGGCAAAAATTCAAGGCAGCTAGGAAATAAGGCAAGAATGAGTCATTCACACGAGTTTTCAATGGATGGTTTCACTGGTAGTATGATGCTGTTTTTACTTAAATAAAAATAAAGAGTGATCCAAAAGAAGCACAACAAGAAAGCCAAAGCAGAGAAGCTATAACCACACTCAAGAAAGAAAAAGCCCAGCATACAAGCAGAAGGCATGCAGCAATTTTAGAAACAGATTGAAGAGTAAATCAAATATGATGATGATGGATGAGTACTTACTCTGTAATGCTCTGAACCGTGATATTTCCCCCCCATCCTCCTTACCCACAGCCCTCATTTGCTTGCTGATGGCTTGGCAGATTTCTTTCCCCGCAGCAATTTGGGCTTTTTCTCCAAGCAAGCCACCCAGGGTGGCGCGTAGCATGAAGGAGACACAGCGGCGTGAGTACACGGCCTCGACATGTGTCTGCGTGGCTCGTGGGTGTGACACTAGGTCCAAAACGTGGGACAAGAACGTAGCGAAGTTGCGCTCCAGCCACTGGCCACCAAGAGTTGTCACAAACACAACATACGCCTGAGGAGAAAGGAGCAAGACTGTGCATGAGTTTGAGCAATCACAAAAAAAAGGAATTCAAATTAACCAGAAGACATATGTCTCACCTGTGTGACGCCCACTCGCACCTCCCTGCTGACAGAGCCTCCACCCTTCAACATCTCGCCACCACTTTTCAGGAAGCCGGAGCCCCCACGCAGAAAGCCCGTAGCCATCAGCTCCAGCACCTCCTCCAGGGTAGCTCGCTTCACATTCTGACGCATCACTGGGAAGAAAAAAGTTTGAAATTATGAGGAACGAAGATGGCGAGCCGCCAACTGTGACCTACAAGAGAAGTCGACCAATCCAAATACCAGCTGCTTGTTTGGGCATCAGAGCTGTGGCCATGACCGTCCCCAGCAGTTTGGCCACTGCCACTCGAACACCATAGTTGGAACCCTCCAAGGCTTTGAAACACAAAGTGGCAATGTTCTCCAGTTCTGTGGTCCACATGAATACGGCCTCATTCTGCAGCTCCAACAGGCACTGATTGGGCAGGATCAACAAAAATGGAGGGCTTTTGTTAATGTCCACATTCTGTTCCGTTTATACTTATCAGTACAGGACACAGTTGCACAGCTGACAGCTTTTTACACACAGTAAAAGCTTCTTCTCCAACATTCTAACATCCTTTATATGGTTACCTAGTGGTAGAAAATAACATTTTTCTCTAAGCTAGAATCAAAAGATCAAATTTGGCCATTTCATTCTTATACATACAAGGAATAATCCTCCACCAGTGTGAAGAATTTTCACCAAGTTGTTAACATTAAAAAGTGTTTCTTTTGAATGACTACATCTGCTAATCAGACATTTGTTAAACAATTTATGCCTTCATCCAAGAGTTCTTCTGAGACCAACCTTTGCTACTGAACAGCGTACAGCCATCGATCTGTCTGTGAGCAGAGAGCGGGCATTCTTGTAGATATCTCTATGGCATGAAGCTGCAGCTCCCCCCAATCCATTCAGTACTTTCTGCAGACTGAGAAGGATCTCTCCTCTGCCTTGAGACTAGATATTGTTGAGAACAACGTATTAAACTAGATGTGACCAACTTCAACTCACTGATCCATTAGTGGGTTAAGTATTTTTCATATTCTATTCAATTAAATAATATGAACATATTCCAATTGTATTCTCTTAAAATTCATACCAATTGTATTCTCTTAAAATTCATACCTCTGCACTCTTCAAAGCCTTCAGAAGATTATTAATGGTGTCTGGAAAGGAGCTCCCCAGCATCCTGCCCATTTTCTCATAAAAAGCTCCAACACATGCCACAGCAGCACTGCAAGAAAAAGTGGGAACATCATCATGAACTTATGCTGGACAGTCATTATGAACATTCAAAAGATTCATAATAAAAACATACATGGTGTTAATTCACTATACTGAACGATTTGAAGTAGCATTTATCTCATTACTAGTGACACAAGCGTCACCCATTTCCCAGCTGTTGACAACTAAATCTGCTGTAAAACACTGCAGACGTATAGCTGCTAGTCTACAACCCATCTATGTCCCCCATATCCTTTCTGATTCTATACAGAAATCATCAGGAAAGGGAAAAGGATTAAATCCAGCATAACAGCTCTGATACAGCTTCCTCTGCTGTTGGAATGCATTAATGTAACCAACAAACACATCCTAATATATACTCTTTTGCAAACGTAATCCTCCCTTTCAAAAGATCAAAATAATTCAGCAGATTAATGTTTGGCTTAACTGTTAATACATTTGAAGGTGGGCCTACTGCATGTGCCTTACATTTATAGAGCAATGTTAAATGACAACTAGGAAAAAGTGTATAAGCTTAAACAGTATATACCAGATGCAAAATGACTGTTTAATCAGCCAGGAAATATGAATAGCTGAGAATAAACTTACAGTTTTGTTGGTAAGTATGCAGGTGTGTCATCCTTGTTTTTAATGATGTCGTTGCATTTATCCAAAGTCTGGAAAACAGTGAAGGTGTCACCAATGCTGTAGAGAGTGGCGAGGTTTTTGGCTAACAGTTTTCTGGTTGGTGGTCCTGGGGCACTGCTGATCAGCCCCGTCAGCTGTTCCACTAGCTTCTTCTGTTTCTCCTTCACATCCACCTGCCATTTAATCACAAAACGGTCACAAAATCCATCCAAACAAAACTACTTAACAAAACAATAACAACGTGTGAAAATAAGACACCTTATTTGCTGCCACAAGCACTTTGTCGAGGAAGCGGAGCCATTCGAAGATGAAGACAGGCCTCTTTGCTTCGGTGATCTGTGCCAAAGCATCTTCATTGAGCAGCAGACTGTGAGCCAGCTCCATGGCAAGAGTCTCTGAAACCGCTGTCCGCACTCGTCTCTACAACGTTAAAGTGAGGGGTGTCATTTATTATCGTATGCCTCTTCTCTCATGAACGCCTTTCCATCCAATCAGTATGTCCACCATGTCGATAGCTTGTAGGAGCAGTTTAGACGATCCGGATCTGAGGTCATTTAATATTATTCAAATGTCTTTACGGACTTTCGCCCAAACATATGTACTTTTTGATGTTGTATTAAGTCCTGCAAACTAAAATGTGAAAGCTATGTAGCGCTAACACTTTGTTGTTTAGTCTTGACAGTTTCCGTCACCCTCCAGCTGTTTATAGACGAGCTGGTTAGCAACTTCGGTTAGCTAGGGGGAACAAGCTAAACTCTCTAAATTACACTCTCATATAGTCGTGGCTTTAGTTATCTACCGTCACCTTGCACAAATGTATGCTGTTAAAATTTTCTCAGAAGAGGAAAAACTCCCCGACAAAGGTGGTGTGTGCTATCAATTCACTCATCTTACCTTGCTTCGATGACCCAAGATGAATGACGACAAGAAAAGGTGGTGTCACAGTGAAGTGTCTCCGATAGGAAACGAAATGAACAAGTGACACAACGAAAACATTTTTGCACAAAAAAACATTCTTCGGTTGTCTAATGTTTATATATTTTAAGTTATTTCTGTGTATCCTTGTGTAAAGATTGTCGTCAGAATTGTGTGTCACACACAGCGGAACTTTGCTTTAACAACTGTCTTTGCACCAAGTCGAAACTTGTCCAGCAACGAACAAAACATCTGAGAAGCTAACAAAAATTGACACCGGAAAAAGTCTTTGTAGTTCTTCTATTCGCCGTTTTTTTTGGGCCATAATGTCTGACGAGGAAGAAGACTATATGTCTGATGCATTTCTGAGTAAAATGTAAGCATTTAGCGTGTTTCTTTTTTATATTAAAACTCGCGGGCGTTGATATTGGCATTGGTATAGACGAAGATACTGAGGGGGAATTTTCATTAAGAGCATGTCTGTAAAAATGTTGAACATGTTTCTGTTTCTTCTTGAAGCTCCTGTGCATTTTTCAAAATGCTAATATTATTCCCTCTGTTAGTCGAGATGTAAAACCAGGTGTCAGCATGGTGAGGAGGATGAAGGAAGCAATTAAGAAGGAAGAGCAGCATAAGGAAAAGAACATCAAGAACCGCCAGAAAACCTACAAGGAACAGGAGAAGGAAAGTCGAGAGACAGCACTGCAAAGTGCCATTAGCAATCAGAACAAAGGTTTTGCGCTTCTTCAGAAAATGGGCTACAAAGCTGGCCAGGGCCTTGGGAAGGAGGGTACGTTTCCTCAATTAATTAAGAACTGTATTTGTTTTACACTCATGTGATGAATTACCCATGTCTGTTATACTTCTGCAGGAGCAGGACGGGTTGATCCAATTCCACTGAGTATTAAAACAGGTAGGCTATAATTTGGCAATAATGATAATGCTTCAGATTCAAACAATAGACCTATATGTTCATAATTTGTCTGTATATTATCGATAAGACCGTGGGGGTATTGGACTGGAGGAGCTGAAAAAAAGAAAAGCCGAGGAGGAGCTTGAACATTATCGACACAAAGTACAAGCCAAAAAACAGAATGAGACAAAGTCTCTTGAAGATTTTAGGTAAATGGAAAGCTGACGGGAAATGTTTCCATAACCTCTTAAAACCCCTTTCCATAACGCAGATGTCTGTGCCTATAATTTCTAAATTCCAGGTCAAGAGTAAGGACAGAGAGAGAAGAGCGAAAGATTGAAGGGGACCTAAGGAGGAGTCAGCTATCTTGTGAGCAACTTGACAGTCAGAAGGTTGGCTTATATGGCATGAAATCATCCGTCATCATCACGTTTCATAGGAAAATCTCCACTTAATCTCCACTTTGAGAAAATTGTTAGCTGAGGTGCCTTCATTTTTTTCAGGGCATAACCATCCCGAGAGAAGCCTGGTACTGGCCAAAATCCAACGTTGATGATGAGGAAGATGATCTTGAAGAGGAAGATGAAGAAGAGGATATTGTAGAACTAACTGTTAGTATTCAATGTATTTTAAGACAAAAATCAAATAGATTTCAATCGCATGTAATCATTTTGGTGTGAAGATTTCTAGCTAACATGATCATTGGATAGGGTTAATATGGGAATATACTTCAGTCACAGCATCTTATAAAATTCAATTACACTATGTTTAAGGGCATTTTATATGTACTTCTCTCTTACAGTCCTTTGATAAGCTGCAAATTTTAACATCCTACTTGAGAGGGGTCCATTTTTACTGCATATGGTGTGGGACTGCCTATAATGGTAAGAGTGGTGACAATATACATATAGTTTCATAGATGTTTTATGGTTGTTTACTCATATGTATTCTTCATTTTTGCAGATGAAGAGGATTTGTGCTCCAACTGTCCAGGCAACACAGCAGCAGAACACGACTGATCTTGATTGAAAACAATGTTTAGTAACCTCTAATGATAACGCTGTGGCAAATATTTTAGACTTGAAATATTATCTTTATGAGACAACTCTAGAGATTGTTTTTCAGTAGATGAATCAGGCTCGGTGTAATATAGTAACCGACATTTGTTTGATTAGAAATGTTGAAAAAAATCATTTCAGTATTTATATTTTAAAAGATTTGGAAGATTCTTTTTTTTAAAACTTGTTTCAAGAGTAGTTACAGCACATGCCCATGTTTCCATTAAATGTTATAAAAATTTAATTTCCTCTTCATTATTTTAGTTTTCGTTTTAGTAAGGTAATGCCATTTGGTTTTGACTTGTAAAATGTCTTGATACTCCCTATTGTTATTTAAACAATTAGTTTTGGGTTTCTTTATTTGTGAAATTTTAAACGGTTCTACAATTGTGGCTTTTTCCTTCATGTTGCATTTTTGTGCACCTTTGACCAGGTTAGGAGTTCTGGAAGCTGCTTTGAAACAATTGAGGATGTCAGTATTATCCTGTTTTGGGCTTCTGAAAATAATCTGGCCAACAGCTTACTTGTATTTGACAGATGATTTTCATAGTTGTGTTGCTACACAGTCAGTGACATAATGGGGACAGACTCTATGACCAAACCGCTTGACTTGTGCAGCAATGACAAGTCACCTAATCTCTGTAACAGGTGTGTATTTTTACCTGTGAAAGCACAATCAATGTCTTTATTCCTGCACTGTCCTTTTGCTAGATTTATAAGCTTCCATTGCATAAATTATGCAGCGCCTATACTATGCCTTTTTTGTCCTTGAAACAATGTAAGGCTTTATTTGCCATGACCAAAATGAAGTCTCCACATGCTATAGCTGTTTTAGCAGCACCAACTACACTTCCCATGAGCCTCAGCCGCCGGACCAGGTTATAAACCTCTTGGGATTTGCAGTTCAATTCTAGCACGCTTAACGTAGATAAGCAATTATATTTATGTATATTTTACAGAAACTGCCAAAATTAAAAACAATTATTGATAGCATATATAATATTAGCCTGAGTAACGATGAGCCACACACACGAGAGCCACTTCCCGAAACAACATTTATTTTCAAATATATTCCCCATTGCAGTTGTCCCAGAACAATACTTTGCGGAGGCTGCACCGACATCAAAAACAATGTTAATAAAATATGTAACAACTTTTGTTTAAAAAAAAAAAAAAAAAAAAAGAATAGTTCGACGTTTCACACATCACAGAAAGCGTCACGTTACGTACGGGGAAATCGAAACTTATGACGGTGTCATGGAGGCTGTGTCCAAGCACGGCGGGTAATATGGGGCCATTTTTTGTTAATTCTTTAGTTATTTGATACACATTTTTTAGTGTTATATGATGGATTCGGTCAACTTCGTGGCACAGCTTAACGAGTATGCCCACAAGGAGCGGCTGGTGGTGAAATATGAGGACGTTGGATCCGTTGGCCCTGACCATATTAAAACGTGAGTTGAACAAATGATGAAACTTGTCTGGCATTAGGGGCTCACGGAAGGAAGAGGAAACCTCTGTGATACGGGCATGTGATATATCCCCTGGACCCTGTAAGTCGAGTCCGGTTTGGATTCCCAGCCCCCTTCACAGTACTCTTTGCTCTTGCGTTGACATGTAATGTCAAAATCCACATTCATATTTAACGTCAACAGAAATGGGTGTAGGAAAACAAGCATTTCATTGCTCAGTCTCACAGTGTCCGCAGTATGATTACCGCCACAACTGGCCACATTTAAAAACTATCCTCCATTTTCATTGATAGGAAGATTTTCTTTATAAATATTCAAAATACCCCCCCCCCTCAATTTGACCAACTCAACAATCAGTCCATTTTCATGGAGCAAGTAGGTTGGTGTAGTTTCTTAGTCATCCATTTCATGGTAATCCTAAAAGTCTGGTTAAAGGCCAGGGGAACTGGTTTTAGTGATGAATGCATGGATTCACCCACCACTGTGACACCCATAATGAAACAGTGATTGCCAGCACTATTTTACTTCTAATTAAAAACATCAGCATGATTGCACTTGCGTGTGTACTGGTGCTAACTGAGGTCTTGTAATGGCTGCAGGTTTATGTTAAGAGCGGTCCTGAATGGGAAGCCCTATCCCGACGGTGTGGGGAAGAACAAGAAAGAAGCGAAACAGAATGCTGCTAAAAATGCTTTGAAATGCTTGTTGGAGAAGCCAGCTGAGTCTGTAAGATTATTACAAAGTTTTATCTTCATGCTGGGGACTTAAATGTTTGTACTGATTTAAACGCAGGTGTTGTTTTCCTTCTTGACAGACAAAGGTAAGAGAAGAGGCTTCTCCTGTTCAAGTACAACAAACCAGTCTCAACTACATGTGTCGGCTCAATGAATATGGCCAGAAGAAAGGACTATCTATAAGAAGCATGGAAGGAACCAGGCTTGGACCAAATATCACTCAGTAAGTCTCCACCCTGTGTCATTCGTAGTCATCCGTTCACTATCAAAATGTTTGTTCAATTCCTTTGTCCTCTTATTAGATGGTGTAAATTTGTGGTTGGCGATAAGGAATATCCAGTAGCATTTGGGAAAACGAAGAAAGAAGCTAAAGACGAAGCTGCCAAGCTGGCGTACCATGAGATAGTTAAGGGTGAAAGTACAGATGTAAGTGGAGACTAACACCAGTTTACTGAAGACTTCATTTTCTTGTGAGAAATGAAAACACTTGTTTTTTTCTGTTTGGTTTCAAGACTGGGGATGACACAGACAGTGGCATAACAAGTCTACACAAAGAGGAATTGGATGAAATTCTGTTGGATGTCAGGTAAGCACAAATAGTGTTGAGGTTTTGTCTGATTTGAACTTTTCATGTCTGTGAAACATTGACTATTTAATTAATTTTTTGCCCTGTGTGGCTGTGAAATCTTTGAATTGGTATTGATATGTTGTGTCTGTTTCATTTTCAGCAATCAAATTGGGAGCTTGAACATAAAGACTGAGGACAGTTGTCCAGCAGAAATTAATTTTGTCGGACTTGTCAATCAGTACTGTCAGAGAACCAGGCAATTGTGTACATTTATAGAACATGCCAGAAGCGGCCCTCCACATTGCCATATGTCAGTTTCATCAAACTTCGTAGCTGAAATACCCACTATGTGGAAACTCATTGTTTGCAACACACTGATCTGAATTTCTTTCCTCCCTGCACGATGCAGATTTTTCTACAAACTAGTGATCAACAACAAGGAATACCCTGTGGGTCAGGGTAAGAGCATCAGGGACGCCAGGCAGCGTGCAGCTCAGCTGGCTTGGGCTGCTCTTAAAGAACAGTCAGACTGGAATAGCAAGGTATTTGAAAGCTTCAAGTATTTCTTTGCATGCATAAACTGTTTTTGATTGAGATCCCTTATGAAAGTTGTTTATTCATAATTCTTATCATTATTGTTTTTTGGTGCATTTGCTTTTTCCTTTCCCTCTCACAGCAAACCTCTGATGTCTATTTCTATTTTCTAGTTCTCCCTCAAACAGAGCCATCAGCCTCTACTAAAAAGCTAAACTGGTATAATTACTTGTTCGATGCTAAGTATTGATAATTTAACTTTTTTCCCAAGAACAGCATTTTGCTCAGAAAGCAAATGTGGTTTCGGGCATATTGGAACTTTCCTAGTTCTTAGCATTGAAGATTGAAACGGACTGAAAAGTCAGAAATTGCTGAAGGACCTCACAGAGGAACCAACAGGGTCACTGTCCAGTTATAACAGCATCCCTCCTCATTTGTGGATCCAGGTTTCTGATGATGGTGCCCAAGCCAAGCAGTCCCCGTCAACAAGTACACAGTAAGGGGCCGACAGAGCCACAAAATGCATTCTTGTATGATAACGCTACCAACAATCAAATCACTTGATTTTTTTTAAAGGGACTCTGGTATTGTGAAATCAAGCAGCGTAGTAAAAGGTGATCCAGCTGTTTCCAAGCATTCACCAAATAATCCCAGGTATCAGGTGTGTTTCTTCCCAGGTTCACTGCATTCTGTTATGGTATTTGTTGCCTTGTAATGATTAGCTTATTACAAAAGTGAGTATATGTTGCTTTAGGATATTTTTATTTACATCCAATCAGTTTTACATAAGTTGCCTTTGAATGACAAAAATTACGTAATATGACCTGCTAATCCCTTGAGGTAACACATGTATATGGTGTATAAAAGTGTGTGAAAAGATTTAATTTATCCGGTTTATTTTAGCAATTCCCTCTACTAAAACTTCTACATCAAACCACATTTGTGTTTTTAGCTCCAAACAAATAAAGAAGGGCTTTGTGTCATTTTTAATATCAATAGTTTGTTTTTTGTTGTTCTTTTTACTGATGTTGAAAAAAATCTCTCCCTCTCTCCCGTTACAAAGGTTCAAAGTCCAGATGGAAAACCCAAGATAAGGTGAGTCACCATCTGTAAACATAAAGATATAGATCATATCATCAGATGTTCCAGATGTGCTGATTGTTGCTTTTTTATGGTTAGACTTGCTCCAAATTTCCAAAATGCCGCTCAGAAAAGCATAGAGGTAAATTATTAAGATATTAATCATATAAATGTATTTCTTTAAATTGAAAATTGTTCATGATCTTTTTTGTGCATCTTTTTCTCATGAAGGATTTAATCAATTTTGAAGTCAAGAAAAAAAAAAATACTCAAACTGAAAAACCACCAAATCAGCCAGTGATGTCGAGGTATGAAAACTTTCGCTGTGATTTTGAAATGGATGTTCTTTGTTTTTTACAGTGTAACATGTGTCTGCTGGCACCAGATACGATTCTCACTACTTTTTTTTTGTTTTGCCAGTAGAAGATATTAAACTGGTTGTACAATTTTAGCTCCTGGCTAGTGTAAGCAATGTTTTTATGTTTGCTGTACTTATACAGTTGAGTCCTATTGATTGAATTTTAGAGTCAAGTGAAAACTTTTCACTTTTTAGATTCTTTCAGTTTAATATGTGTTTTTTTTTTATCATCCCTGTGAATTAAATCTGTTTTAATAAAACAAAATGAAAAAAACATGTAGCGCTAAATACGTTTGCAACTCCTTGAGAAGCCAGAGAGAAGCACTCGTATTTTCAGCTTTTTCACTCTTTTTTTCTTCTTCAGGTTTACATTGGACTATGACTCCATAGAACATCTAGATAAAGGATCCTTTGGTCATGTTTTCAAGGCAAAGCACAAACTGGAAGAAAAATATTATGCCGTGAAGATGGTCCGCTGCAAGGACGATGTCAAGTAATGAATTTTTTTTTTTTTTTTTTTTTCTGAGATTGATATGTTCTTTTTAAATTTTATTTTAGATTCAGCTCATAATTGTTTAAATGTTTTGCTTATAGATGTTTATCTTGATTCCCTATGCATTAGAAAAGTTCTACAAGAGGTGAAAGTATTGTCAGACCTCAATCATGCTAACATCGTTCGATACCATTCATGTTGGATGGAGGACTCGCCATACCAGTGGGACACTTCTACTGGCAGTAGCAGTGCATCACAGTAAGCCCCCCCCACCACTCTCTCGTCTTCCTGTTTTCTAAAATGTATCAGCATGTTTTTGTTTTTCCTCTAAATATGTCTGATCAGGTCTTCCAGTGATTCATCACCAAAGTACCTCTTCATTCAGATGGAGTTATGTAATGTCAAAACACTGAGAGTATGGATAGATGAGAAGAATGTTCAGAATCCCAAGAAATCTCTGCGCGACTCCAAGAGAAGAACGGAGAGTTTAACCACGGCCTTTCAAATGGTCAGTGGTGTGGAGTACATTCATTCCAAGAGGCTCATCCACAGAGACCTGAAGGTGAGACAAGAGCAAACCACAAACGCAAACACAAGTAAAAAACAGGGATGTTTTTTCCCATAAAACCTTTTTAGAACTCGTTAAGAACCAATACTAAAAGAAAAGTTAGAATGGTTGGGTTTCCCACTCACTGTTGATTTAAAGGTTCATTCTCATGCTCATAAGAGAGCAGCTTTATTTCAAATGACATGCTAGTTTGATCACTGTGTTTATTTAAAGTCTTACATACAATATTGCCAACTTCACTGTGCCTGATTGGGGCTCATCCACAGAGCTATTCACTCAGTTTGGCTCAGTTTCTGAACTGCTGCAAGACAGCGATTTGAATCATTATGTGAAACCATCAGTTGCTTTCCCTCTGTCTTTCTTTCCTACACCTAGCCTGCCAACATCATGTTTGGCCAGAGTGGCTCTATAAAGATTGGAGACTTTGGTCTAGTTACTGAAGAAATTGAGAATGACACTGAGAACCAGATGGAGAGAAACAAGTATAAAGGAACACCATCTTACATGGCTCCTGAGCAGGTGAGAGCAGAGGCCTCTGAACTGTCAGACACCACATTCCAGTTGTGCTGTAGAGTTTTTGAATCTCAGAGATATCTGCAGAACTTGTGTGCCAGTAGTCAACACTGTGTCCTTTCATTACAGAGGGACAGAACCCTTTACGACCATAAGGTGGACATATTTGCGTTGGGACTGATATATTTCGAACTGCTTTGGAACATCCCTACTGTTGAAGGAAAGACTGAGGTGAGATTATTAAAGACTGGGTCAAAATCAAGTTATGGAGGAATTTTATGCAGTTCATTTCAGAGGTTTGCATCCATCAATCAGTCTGTTGTTTTAACATTCCTTTAAACTATACTCTCATTAGTTTAATGAGTATTTAAGAATGGCAATACAAATGTGATATGAACAAGTTTCCAGCAGGATCTATTAACTCCAGCAAAATTCAGTCGTGCTTAATAAATATTGACTTAGAAATCATTGAAACATCTTTTTAGTTCAACTTTATCTTGCATGACAGGAACTGTCTGTGTCTGTATGAATTATTTATTAATGATTGGTTTAAAGATTTTGTCTGATCTGTAAATGCAGACTGCATTTAGATCACGTTGTCCATTCATGCTGTGTTATAAAAGTAGCTTTGGAGAGCTTATTAACTTGTATCACTGCAGCTATATGACCCCGTCGTCTGTTATGGTGCAAATTCCAGATTTGGGCGGATGTCAGAAAACAGAAACTTCCTCAAGGATTTTCTCAACATTATCTACAAGAGGTAAACCAGTTTTTTTGCATTCAATATTTCATCTGTTTGTTTGTTTGTTTGTTTGTACGATTACAACTGTTCTCTGATCTCTGAAGTCTCCAAGGACAGAAATGTGCGTTGACGTGTGCATATGCCTATGTCTGTGTTTCAGAGCAAAATGATCCAGTCGATGCTTTCTGATACACCCCAAGAGCGACCAGAGGCATGGAAACTGAAGCCGGACCTAGAAGAGTTATGGCGGTTACTGGACATGTCTAAAACTGTTCAGCGTGACAGCAGGACTGTCTGACCACTCCAGAAAAAAGAAGCGAAGCCAACAAATGCATGACTTGATTAATTCTACATCATTTCCCATGACCGTGTGGTTCAATGTGTCTTGTAAAAAAGTGTAATGAAATGATTATGCTAGATGTAAGGTACATCACTCAATCGAAGGAGATCGAACTTAATCCATTTTTTCTCCAGTTAATAGAAAATGAAGTTCGTCCTACATTTTTAACAAACAATCATGATGTGGGTTATAACTGTCCTCATCTATTAGGATCATTATTGTATATTTAACTGTTTATAATGTGTTTTTTTTATAAATATATATATAAGGGACACTGAATTATGAAATAAAAGATGGACAGTTCCTTCTGTTTCCATGTGCTGTTTATTTTAGATACATATTTAAGTCCTGGAGTCTTTATGGTGGCCTTAAAATCTTACATAAAAACTAAATAACTGACCCCACATGCAACAAGTCAAGAAAGAGGAATAAAGGATAGGTGACTAATGGCTGTAACTGAAGAAAGTGACATGAACTTTTTCCACATGTTAAACACTGACAGATGAGCCCTAACAGCTGGATTTGGCTCATCTATAGAGAAATAGTACTTTCTTACATGGCTCAAAGTATTTCTGTTCATACAATATGCATCACGTGACATGTTTCTGATCTGTGTGCATGTGGAACGTCAGAGGCACACACCCTTATCATCGATGACACACCGTGCCTCTTTAAGAGACCTGAACGCCTCTCCCACCCATCCCAAAGTCTACCCGCACACCCCGGCACAACAAGTAGAATCTGCTCCTACAAGAGTGGAAATAGCAGCCAACCGCCAGAGATATTGATTGCTCTCCCGGAAGTTATCATTTTGGTGCCCCGTTTCAGTTTCGATAGTCCCGGGGTATGGGCAAGCCAAACCCAAGGCTTATATCCAGGAATCGAAACTTACAGCGCTCTTAAGACAGCAGAGGCGGAACTGATCACTCAGATGAAGATTCTGGGGAAGAAATCAGATAGCTGGTGAAAACCGAGCGGCTTGGCTGAGCTTTGTGCCCACTTGTCGGAGTTTTCTGTAAGAAAAGCTGCGTCATCACCGCCATGGCGAGTGGAAACTACGTGGGTGCGCTGCTCGAGTATGCTCAGAAGGAGAACAAGATACTGCTCTTTGAGGAGATGGACGGCGGTCAGGGTCCGGCCCATAATAAAATGTAAGTAGCATTTCTCTGTGGGGCTTGTTCCAGGGTCTCTGCCCTGCAGAGAAGGACTCTGGCCTCCTCCCTACAGCCTTACTCATACACTCTAAGAGAGCAGCAAATAAACCAAACAGTAACCTGCCATAACCAAATAAAAATACAATAAACCCTATTGGTATTTTAAGAAGTGAATCCCGACGAAGTGAAAGCCACATAAAACACTTTGCTGTGTTTTTAACTGAGTGAACAGTAAATTAAGATGTTGCTACCTGCAAAATGACCCTTTGTGAAACTAATAAACGTGGTGCAAGATGAGGAGTTGTCAAACAGAAAGTTTCACAGAGTGTCACAAACTTGTTTTGACAAGCTGTCTTTCTAAGTGTTAGCAATTCCTTTAGTCTTGCAGTGTCCTCAGAATGGATCAAAAGTTCTGACATTTCCTCTGGCAGGCTGAATAATGTCCTGTAACACATTCTGACAACGATCTTGACAAATGAATACTCCACAGATTCAAACAGAGAGTTGTCATAGAGGGCAAACCCTACGCCCCTGGTGTGGGGAAGACCAAGAAGGATGCTAAACAAAAGGCTGCAGAAACGGCCTGGAAATGTCTCTTTATGGATGGGGATCAGAGTTTGGTAATATTTACGTCCTTTTCTCCTCTCTCAGTCATCTGCGTAGAGCTTATTAGAAAAGTCCAACTTGTGACATGTTTAAAATTTGATGCGATTTCTAAATGACGTTACAGGCCGAAAGTACAGATGAAGGTTCTTCACCAGTTAATCATCCAAACATGAACTACATTTGTTGGCTTAATCAGTATGGCCAGAGGAACTCGCTGAGGGTGAAGCCCGTGGAGACAATGAAACCTGGACTGCAGAATGCAACTTAGTAAGGCTTCAAAATACATCCTGTTTAGTCTATATCTGTGTGTTTACAGCTTTGATTTTGTTAAAAGCGTTTTCATTAAACCAGTTGGTGTAAGTTTGTGGTGGGAGACACGGAGTACCCAGAGATCTCTGGGAAAACTAAGAGAGAGGCTAAGGAGGAAGCAGCTAAGCTGGTATATGACAGCCTCAATGGCACAGAGGTAAGAGTGGCACACGCCACATCAGACTCAAAACGTTATGAGCAGGCTGCATTTCACTTTGACAACCATTTTCATTTGATTTATTTTTTCAAAAAGGGTGCAGCTGGATCAGGCCCACAAATCGAGGCGTTGCCGATAAATACTGATGATACCTGGTGAGTAGATAATAGGGGGATGAATTGCTTGATTTCTGGTATCGCCTTCACTCTGATGTTCTTCTTCTTTTGCAACAGCTCAAAGACAAGCAGCCTCAGCTTCAACTCTGTTGACACCGGTTATAAAGAGACCAATTATGTTGGAATCATCTACTCCTATTGTCAGAAGACAAATCGCAATCCAAAATATATTGAAGTGGATAGAACAGGCCCTGCTGATCGACCCAAGTCAGTACAAATCACACGACAGCTCCTATCAATTCTGCCACTTTTCTGACCTTGTGTAAGGATGTGTAAGGATCCAAACCATTTTATCACTTTTGTTACAGATTTAGCTGCAAATTAGAAATAGACGACAAAGACTATCCAGTTGGTGAGGGTAAGAACAAAAAGGAGGCCAAACAAAATGCAGCTAAACTGGCCTGGTCCGCTCTTCAAGAACAATCAGACTGGGATAGCAAGGTATGTGAGGTGTTCTGGTCCAATTTGTCATCAAATATAGATAACATGGCTGTGTAGTCTGTAATAATAGCAAGTTTTATTACAAACTTTCACTGAAGTAAAAATGAACATAGTTAAAACTTTTTTCAAGTAACATCTTTTCTGTGCATTTCAGGTTTCTGTTGGGTCAGATCACTCAGAAGATGGAACACGACCCACAATGTCAACACAGTCAGCGACATGGTGAGGCTCCTGTCACAAGCAGAAGAGTAGATATAAGAGATAAGATACGCCACCCAGATTCTAATAAAGTTGTGATGCTAGGTGAAATGTGAGTGAAAAGAGAAATAGGTAAATCCCATAAACCAACATTTCATACTAATTAAAATATAGAAAGAATTTGAGCTGATCTTTATTTTGATAGCCGCAACATGTCTCAGAAAAGGCTGTGCCATGTTTACTACTGTGTAGCATCTCCTCTTAACTTTATGTGTATATATAGTACCCAAAGATACCAGTTACTGGATCTATGGGAAAGGAAGACGGTACGATTTTTTTCTCTTAAATAACTGGATGAGGTGCTCCTTTTGGTGCTCAGTCATCTCACAGACATGTGGTCAGGTTGTTTAGCACTATATACTTTTTCAGCCTTTTGTTTCTGTCGAGCTTGGAACTGGGATCATCCAACTGAATGTCCACATGCGTTACTTTGTGTCGTGAAAAGACTGTGCGTACTGATCAGCGATCTTTTTTAGGGACTCAAATGAGCCATCATCACAAAGCCTTCAGGACAGTGCCAGTGACTCCATAGTATTTGCTGATTCATCAAACCCATCCGACAGCCAGGTATGTTCCCTCGGAGCTAAACGGCAGCACAGGTTTGGCAAACCGTCTCAAATAGCCGGCCTTTGAGTGATATTTGAAAAGTACAATTCTGACTGTGCGGTTGGGATCATTTTCTTTTGGTCTGTGTTGCTTAGAGAGGTTCAAATGAGGGGTGGAAGTACACGAAAAATAACCTCAAGATCAACTTTACCTTCTATTTTTTTAAAAGCATCTTTGCTGGTCTTGATGATGCACAGAGCAGAGCTATCTGGCTCTGTAGACTTTTGCTGAATCAGCAACATGTGACTTTTTCTATCAAGAACATCAGCTCACTTATCACTTATGCAAATGCCTTAAAACAAAGTAATATAAGATTGTCTTGGTGTGGCCAATTGTCAAAGTTTTACTTCTTTCTGACTAATGGCAATTGGATTAAAAAGGTTTACCAATAGGATGGATAGTTTTTCTCAGAAAAACTGAAAAACTAACTCTGAATGAAGCACAAAATGTAAAACAGCATGTCTTTACTGAAATGTGGTAATGTGGTCTGTTTTTCAGTTATACTACTTTAGAAGTCTTTGGGTTTGTAGCAGTCACCTCTTAAAATCTTATTGCTGTCAGTATCTGCATTTTTCATATTCATAGGCTGCAGGGCTTATTCTGTCTGTGTTTTCTTTTTTTTATGTAAAACTAATATTCTGAATGCATGTTTTTCTCTTAGAATGATGTCCAAAACACTGGTGTGGGGAATGTGAGTAGTGCATCGAATGAGTCAAGGTACATCAAAGCAAATAACAGCACTGAAAGCACGTCCGAGGCTTTCCCCTGGCTATTATTCCTGAGCAGTTTCATCTATGTCTGCAGATTTGTAAAGGAATTTCGAAACATTGAACCTCTCGGAAATGGAGGCTACGGTGATGTTTACAAAGCTACAGAAAAACTCACAGAGTTGGATTATGCCGTAAAGATTGTAGATGGGACATCGTAAGTAAAGAGTGGAGAGCTGAGTTCACACTGTGTTTCAGACGAGATGAGCTACAGGAATTTACATGCTTTTACTTTGATTCTTTGATTAGAAAAGCTGTCCGAGAGGCAAAAGCATTATCAGAACTCCAACACCTGAACATTGTTAGGTACTACACTTGTTGGATGGATGATTCAAATTTCAGTCAGCACTCTAAGTAAGTTTCCCGTGTAAAATGACTCTGTATTGTGCTTCAAGGCAAAGAACTCTGTAAACACTTCTTCCTCTTTTTTAGGTCCAAAAAGATATCGTGTCCATATTACTTGTATATTAAAATGGAATTATGTAGCCCAGACACACTTGAAGACTGGATTCGTGAAAAGAACGAGAAAAGTGTACAAGGCATGAAAAGAAGAGAAGAAAGTCTTCCTATTGCTCAGCAAATAGTCAGTGGAGTGGAATACATTCACTCCAACAACCTAATTCACAGGGACCTTAAGGTGAGTCTTTGCCTCTAGCGCTGAACTGCTAAAAATAGTTTTTTTTGTTCCAGTACATCCTGCTAATGTGTCCGTCTTTAATGCTTAGCTTTTGTCAGATTAGCTACTTAACTTAGATTTGATCAATAAATGAAATCCTAACTGCATATGATCAGCTTCAGAGCCCAGTCATCCACCATCAGGCATACAAATTCTCTCAGTCATTTGAACCTACTGTTTTCACAGTGTTTACCTAGCCACCCAGTAAGAAAGATATTTATTGTGTTTTTTTTTCACTGTCAGCCTGCCAACATCATGTTTGGGAAGGACGGAAAGGTGAAGATTGGAGATTTCGGTCTGGTCACTGTTAAAACTGATGGTGATGATGTAAACCTGATGAAAAGAACAAAGGAAAAGGGAACTGTATCTTATATGGCACCTGAACAAGTGAGATGAACTGGTGGTATTAATTCTGAAATAAGCTCGCATTTTCCATCACGATCCTTACAACTTTATTTGTGTTGTCATTGTCAACATACTGCTGCTGCACAGAGCATAAAATACAACTCTCTCTTATCTTTACAGTTTTAATTGTTGTGACTTTGAAAGTAATAAAAGATTAATAATTAGATATATTTACCTGATATTTTTTATTACAGATGACTCAGCAATATGACCACAAAGTGGACATGTTTGCTTTGGGGTTGATTTTCTTTGAACTCCTCTGGAAACTCTCGACTGGCCATGAGAGAGTAGTGGTGAGTGTTCCATGGTCATAGTGTGTGTTGTTATTAATAAATGGAATGTGAAATGTGTGAAAAGCCTCAAGCTCCAATCAAGACAAACTAAGTTTGTCTATTTAGTCTTCCTGTTGTGTCTTAAGTTTTTTCAACTTTCCTTAGTTTGAACTGATTAAACCAAAATACTCTTTTTTTCCCCATAGATTTTTAGAGATGCAAGAAGCCAGAAGCTCCCAGAAGAGTTTTTAAATATGTTTCACCCTGAGGTAAATGGTTGTCAGCTTACGATACCAGCTGTTTCCAAACAAGCAGCATATGTCAGAAAAACTAGAGGTAGCACTTCAACTGTCTTGTGTTTTACTGTTCGCTAGTTGATACACTATGTTTGTTTACCTTTCAGAGCCTGATTGTTCGGTCTTTGCTCTGTGAGAAGCCAGAAGACCGACCTGAGGCAAGTCAACTGAAAGCTGAGCTGGAGAAATGTGCACAGAAAAGAGTGAACCTTGAAAACCAAACTGTCTAAGAAAGACAAGAAAAAGAAGCATCTTCGGTGCCTTCGTGACAAAATATGTTCCAAAGGGTTGGAAAGCAGATGGGGTCAAAATTAACCATGAAATCAAACTGAATCATAATTTCAAAAAAGAACATTTGACAGTTGACAGAAATCATGATTTTTACATTCCATTATTACTGCCTTTACCCTTTTAAGCATGATCCAAAAAAAAGTAGACTTTGAAGTATTTAATATGACCTTTAACCAAATATGGGGTTAAAAACAGAAAGATTTTCAGAATATGCATCAATTGTTACTGTGCAATAAGTCAAACATATTGTCATGTCATTGAATCTACTGCCCGCTGTTGTGGTTTTTGAGCAAAGCTTTTCCATTAAATGATGCAAAACATTTTAAAAAGAATATGTATCCAATATGATTAAGATGGCATTATAGGGTTACAATCATGTTTTGGAGCATTCTTTTCTTTTTTTTTACTTTCTGTTAAAGGTCTAAAGATGTTTGAGTCTGTTTCTTTTCTCTTGTGTAATTTCTTCTGGTGGGACAACGATTTTACTGGGATATTAGCAGAATTGTGTTACATGTGTATTGGGTGGTATTCTGTGAGTAAAACATGAATCTGTATGAGTGAGGAATGTTTGAACAATTTTAGTCTCAGTTAATGTTAAAGCAACCATATTTTTAGTCTTTCATTATGACAAAAAGTTGTCTGAGCAGAAAGAATCAGCTAAAAGGTGCGAACAGATCCAAGCTGATTGTTCAAGCTCTGAAGTAACTGATTGCAAACAGGACAAAGTAACATAACAACATAGCATAATAATATGAAATCTAATCAGTTTTATATATTATGTAGAAAATGCTTTAACATTCATTATGTTTAACAGCAAAGCATATCTCTACATAGGCCCTTAACTGGAGATAAACATCTCTGATTAACGGGCTTTGAGCATGGTCGTAGACTGTATTTTCATTGTTTCCCAATTGATGCTGCTTAAGAAAAATAAAAGATTTGTGAAAAAATGCACAAAATTTTTTTTTGCTTGATGTTGTCTCGCAGTATTTAGAAAGAATTCAAATGACTGTTCATATCAGAATGGTCAGAACTCAGATACTACATTCATTGTTAATGTAAGGATTTATTCTGATCAGTTCTGGAAAATTCCATCAGATTGTAAGATTATCACAGAAAGATAATTTTTCACTTTAAAAAAAAACTAAGGAAAAGTATTTCGGTGGAAAACATAAATGAGTACTTTTCAGTTGGATTTAAAATCCGGAACTCGCTGTACTGGCTATCATCTCAGTTTCTGTTACAGTGTAATAAAGTCCTCCCACCAAAGGGTGGCGGTGTGGAGTTGAGTCAGTCAATTTAATTCCATGTGAGAAAAGTCTGCGAAGTTTAAAAGGGATCTTTTCCCATCGAGCTACTTTCACTTACTGCACTCGGGACGAAGTGGTTCGTCTTGCAAAGAGCAAGTGGCCAGAAAGACAAACACTTCAGGACAGTTCACTGGCTACTTGTACACCTTCTAGGTTTTTGAACGCGATGGGCCGAAATAATTGTGTTAAGAAGCTTGAACAGTGTGCACATAAATCCGGAGAGTGTCTGGAATTTAAGGAGATACGCGGTAAACCCGAGGAGAACAAGTGAGCATAAGCGGGCATTCAGCGTAGGAAATGCAACTTTTTTTTTTTGTTTTTTTAAAGATTGTGTTGGCTCTAGTGGCCTTTAATGACAGTAGTTTGACAGGAGGGGTAGAGAGGGGGAGACCTGCGGGAAAGGGCCATGGGACGGAATCGAACCCAGGCGGCCCGGTTCCGGGCAGAGCCTCCACGCATGGTCCGCCCGCTGTAACCGTAACGCTGCTTCCGAATTTTTTCCTTTTTTAAAGTGTCCAGTGGGATTTGATGTTTTTCTGTCAAATTCGACCCATTTATTTTCTATGCTGTTATTTCATTGCTGCCGTCAATAGTTTTCTCTGATTAAAACGTGTTTGTTTCACTGGCAGTTATTTGGTTCAGATATGGTACATAACTAAATGTTTTTTGTATTCATCCTTAGAGTCAGCGTGAGCGTTTTTCTTAATGGGCGGTGTGTTTCCACCGGTGAGGCGCCCACATTGAAACATGCCAAGCAAAATGCAGCCAGAAAGGCCCTGAGAAGACTCAGTAACAAAGAGAATCAGGTGGAAGTAAGACTCATCTTTCTGAAAATGGAAGTGTTATCATGCCATTGTTTGGTTATGAATCTGAACTTTTCAATAATAGTTTGCTCTATGGTGAACTATGGTAGAAAATGCTAAAAAGAAAATCATTCTTTTATCTTAAAGAAGGAAAGCTCTTCAGAATATCCTTCTGTGACTCAGCAACATAACAATAGTACCAGAGCTGATCCTGACAGGCAGAGTTTGGTGTGGAACTCATCCACAGTGCCACGCACTCCGTAAGTCCTCACACTGCTTGATACTATTTTTTTCATTTTTTTTGCAAATTCATCCATTTAAATGTAAAACTGTTATCATTTCAGAAGGCGAACCTTTGCCGTTTTTAATGAGGATTTTGTAACACCTTCAAAAAAGGTGAAGGCAAAGAGGAAACTGGCATTTGACCAAATGCTTCCCAATAAAGCTCCAGAGGTTAGTTGTGTTTAACCAATATAAGTTTTCATGTTGGTTCATTGTGTGTTTGATACTAACTTACTGAAACTTTAAAAGGATAGCCACACTTTTTCCTCTGGAGAACCATTGGCTACTTTTAATCATTGCTTCTTATAATCCAAAAAACTTGAATTAAGTGAATTTATGTAATAATGTGGGGAGAACAACATGGTACAGGAGTTTAATCCTTTCTGTGTTTCAGGGGCCCACTGAGTCAGCTGTGTCTGGTGGTGAATCATCAAGACCATCCCCACCACAAAACCCTCAGTAAGACTAATGGCCAGGGTTGAATTTGTCAAGATATTTTTCTATTGTGTTGCTTTTTCCTAGGGGTTCCTGTGGAGTTGACAGAAAGATCCATGGTTCATCAAACTCTCCCATTTCGAAGGTTTGTGTTATTCATCTATGTTATTTATCTAAAAAACAATAATCTTCTGTGCCTAAACCTGTAAAGAAAAGAGGAACAATAAAGTTGGTTTAATGTATACGGAGTGGAATTATAAGGGAAAATGTTATTATAGACACGTTAATATATTGTACATGTTTTTTTCTTTCTATATCCTTTGGACAGTTGTTTCTTAAAAAGTTTCAAATTGTTTGGAAACATTTGATTTTTAATTTATAGAGGCTGGAAAATACTTTGCTGAAAACATATGGACTCCCAGATATTTTAATGAATGTTTATATGTCTTTCCAGCCATACTTGTTTTTCAATTATACATGTAATCTTCTTTTTTCTATTAAGAATCAACTTTCTCATGAAGGTATGCGATCAGGCCAACCAGTAATAATCTCGTAAGTACATTTTGAATGCATGCTGTAGTCTGAATTAGCTCTGTCACAGTTTTATGAGTTCAGTCTGTTTGAGGTAACAGTTGATTACTACATTAAAGATACATTGCTTTTGATGCACATTTTTCCTGTACCAATTCTTTTGTGCATCCAAAGCTTGATCTCCTCTGGAAGGGTAAGTTTAGGGTGTCTAAAGGTGAGATTTGCTCTTACAGGGCTCCAGGGAAGCTCTCAGTTATATTCATTTTCAACTCATCCTCATTTGAACAAAGTTAATTCAAATATTGTTTCTGCAATAACTCTAAATAGCATGAGTGTGTACTAGTCTTTAGCTAGAATAAAAAAGCAGTGTACAAGTCAAATCCATTAACCATTTAAAAAGATTGACAACAGTAACACTGAATTGTTGGATGCCTTTTTCCCCTAATAATTTCTCGTTTTGTGATGTAGATGTGTTATTACACCTCTATTTTGCCACATTGTGCGTTTGTTTTTAGCAATTGACATGGATATCTAAACATTTCTTGCAACAGGAACACCTCAGAATTCAAGTGCCTTGAGTGTCTTGGGAAAGGAGGCTTTGGCAAGGTTTTTAAGGCACGGGATACTGTGCTTGAGAAGGATTATGCCATAAAGTGTGTTCTACTTGAAAAGTAAGTTATGTTTATGTTTATGCCTTTAGCAGACGCTTTTATCCAAAGCGACTTACAGAGTAGACACAATTTTACAGTTATCATCAATATGACCATAGGTTCTCTAGAGGAAAATCCCTAGTCAGAATCAGTTGTGGCTGCAAGAGAGAGAGAAGGAAGTGCAGAAAGCGTAGTGGGGGAGTACAGGGGTACGGGTAAGAGTCAGGATAAGAGATCCTCTTTGAAAATGTGGGTCTTTAAGAGTTTCCTAAAGATAGAAAAGGTGTTCTTGCAGCGCTTGTTAAAATGTTCAGTTTAATTCCACAGCGTAAACATCCCTGTCAACGGCTGAAAATAATTATTTTTATTTTTGTTTTTATCTGTTTGATCAGAAACAGGCTGGAGGCGAAGGCGCTGTCAGAAATGAACCACTGCCACGTTCTTCGATTCTATTCTTGTTGGACTGCAGAATCGGGGCCCAAGTCAGAGAGTACAGAAAATAGCTGGAGCTCTTCACCGTAAGTCACATTCACTTAGAAATTATTATGAATATGTTGTCATAACAAGATTTTACCATTTGGTTAATCTTTGTATGCCTGTTTTTGACTGTACGATTTTTCTTTTGATTTGAGCTTATTTTTTTGTTTGGAGTAGTTTCTTTTTTGCCCAAGCCTTTTAAAAGTTTGTCTCTTGTTTCCTAGGTCTTCTATTGATTCAACAACATTGTATTTTTATATTCAAATGGAATTATGTGATACAGACACTCTTAAAGATTGGATAGATAAGTGGAATGAGGAAAAAATCATGGAAGGTGCCAATAGGCGGATGAAAAGCTTGACTTTCATGCAACAAATGCTCAGTGGAGTCGAGCACATTCACTCCAAGAAGTTCATCCACAGAGACCTGAAGGTGTGTCAGAATACTAACGTTTGTGCAGGCAGTGCACTGATGTTGTACGTTTACGCTTTGGCCCAAGAAACCTGATCTCCATGGGATCCACTTTACAGTCTGATGAATTAAAAGAGAAAAAGCGGCCGTTGTTCCAATGTTCATAAAAGCTTGAAGTCAAAATGTCAGTGGGGAAAATATAACATTTGTTGTCATTGTTAGAAATCAGTCATCAAAGACTACCAAACAGATCTTTGGTCTCCTACTGACAACTTTCAGAGAGACCAAAGCCCTGCAAATGTTTTTTTTTTTTTTTCATACTGAAGAGGCCACAAAATATGGGAAGCAAACATAAAATAAAATGTGGCGTTTCAGCACTAGGGAGCAAAGTATCTCAGCCACTAGACACTCTGAGGCATTTACAGGAGTGGATATGTGCATAACAACGGTCATTGTACTTTAAATAAAGTAACTGTTTGGCCAGTCAAACATATGTCATTTTATTTTTCTCATAAATCCCCTCATTGAACTTCAGTCATAATCCTAAATTGGTGGAATGGTATTTCATTATTCTATATATTTTATTTGACGGTCTTCCAAAAGCATTTTGGTTCATGTCTGAGGATTTGCTCATTTCTCTAAAAATACCAGTACTAAAACTTGAAATGTGTATTGCTCTATGATTATGAGCCATACTTTCTGCCTCTCTTGGTTAGCCCAGCAACATCATGTTTGGACTGGATGGAAAAGTAAAGATTGGAGACTTCGGCCTTGTAGCAGTTGAGCATGCTGATGATGAGGATCAGAGGGAGAGAAGTCCCTCCATTGGAACTAAATCTTACATGGCTCCAGAGCAGGTAGCAATCTCTAAAGTGCAGGATGATTTTTCTTTCATGTACACATCAGTCTCTTGAGATGATACAAATCGGAGGTGTCATTGTTATTCATTCATTATTATACTGTATTTGTGTCATAAAGTAGTTTATATGTTGCCACAGTTTTACTCTGAAAACTCCTGATTTTCATGACTAGTTATTTAATTAATTCTGATTGAATATAATTATGATTTAATTTGGTGCACAGTTCAGAAGGATTAGTTCTCTGATTGTCTGTGATATAGTGTTTTCACGAAGCTGTCTCATGTTGCATGCTACTGCTGTTTTATTTGCCTTGGAAGAATGACAAGTTCTACAACAGAAAGGTCGATATCTTTGCTTTGGGGCTGATCTACTTTGAGCTTTTATGGAAACTCCCCACTTCACATGAAAAACAACAGGTAAGTTAATCTACTCTAAGTCACATATTTTTTTGTTCTAGTTGTTCACTCATCATTCTTTTTATGCCTTAAATGCAAAACTATTTCTGAATATTAGGTCAAGTGCATCAAACCCAGCTAAATGTTCTTTTATGTATTGGATTGTCTAATAATTCATTACTTTAATCCCTGCACAAATTTCAGCTTTGGAGCAGCCTCAGACAGCAGAGGTTTCCTGAAGAATTTGTTCCCAGTTTCGAGGAAGAGGTATGTAAACTTTTTTCCTACTGATTTCCTGGGTCAGTTTCAGAAGCTCTAGTGTAACCGCTTGGGGTTTGTCATTTAAAACAATACTGATGTCCGTGAATGGTTTGCAAGTGCAATATTTAAAAGTCTGCAGTCAGTTGGAAATGAGTGTTGATCACAGTCCCATAAACATTTTTCTGTTTGAAGTTTTTTTAAATATTTCCAAATGATACATTTCTTTGCTGTTGCCGTGTCTTTTCATGCTCCAGTCACACATCATAAGTATAATGCTGAGTCCAAAGCCAGAAGACCGACCCGAAGCAAGTCGGCTCAAGGCAGATTTAGAAAAATGCACTCACAAAGTGGGTGCTGAAGAGGACATGAACTGCAGTAGCAAGGCCTAAACAATTTACATGTACAATATTATGTATTCTGTCCATGTGAGTTGATGTAATGCCAAAGGAAATATTTTTTTACAGTTTTTTATTCATTGACTATCATTGTCTTTAAGACCGACCACGAAAAAACCTGATCATATCGTATAACTGTATTATTCAGGATATTGAAGGATACATCTCAGAAAACCACCTACTGTAGTTCTAAAACGTGCAGTAGGTGCTCCTGGATTAAGGGAATGTGCAGTTTGGACTGTTAGGCCTGCTCTGGATGGAGAACAACACTGCCAAGTCAGCACTTTAAATTCACAGAACCTTCTTGAGGTTTTAGTGTTTTAACGTTTGTATGAATTGGAGAATTATTTTTTAAAACTTGTTTTTATGTTGTCTTATTGGTGTGTTCCTATTGGCTTCATCAATATGGCTGGGCTCTTCCTTAGAGATAGGGTGAGAAGCTCGGCCATCCGGGAAGGGCTCAGAGTAGAACCACTGCTTTTATAAAGATGACTGGATGCAAGATGTAAATTTGCCTATTTAAAAACAATGTTCTTAAAACAAATAAATGCTGTTGTTTTGTTTTATTTTGGTTACGGTACTTTGTTTTTGTTCTTTAGCTTATAGTAACTGACTTCATAGTTTCTAAGATACATTTTCCTTTTGGTTTACATTACTTATCTCATCTAGAAATGGAGAGGAGTGAAAATGCAAAATTCACTTTATAACAGTGGCCTATTTCACATATCACTTTAAGTCATAGCAGCGTGTGTTATATAAAGGAAGTATGAATTCTTTTCTTTTTTTTGGGGGGTCAAAATTAACTAAAATGTACAGAACACATGAGCCTCAATACACTTTAGGATTCACCTTAGGAAAAAAGACTATTTCATGTCACCACTGCCTAAGCAGTTAGGTCAAACTGTTATTGTGTTTTTCTGTTATTGTGTTTATCCTACAGCGATGGACAGGACCAATTAAGTTAAGGTGAAGATTTAGCTGACTCTGTGTGACAGCTCAGTTTGAGAAGATTTAATCAAGTGCTACTGACCATAGAGTGTTTTGTGGTCTAACCAGTGGGTGGAGCTGTTGCTCTGTGGAGCCACACTGAGTGTGTGTGTGGGGGGGGGGGGGGGTCCAGGTTATTCACAGTGAGAGGCCAAAAACAGGTAGAGCTGTGTGACATTTTATCATGCTGCATAATTACCATATCTGCGGTATTCTCGAGTCACAACAGCCAAAAACTAGATCAACACAATCACACAGGTACAGTCCTTTATAGTTAAAATTCCAAATAAAACCCATTTTTATTGTCAGGTTTTTCTTTCATTTATTGTGATCGCAGTTAAATTGGAAAACTTTTTTCCAGTCCTCCCCTGACGGTTACAGAAACAAAACAGTATGGAGCACTATCAAAGATTTGAAAAAAGAAGCTGGAGTGTGGCCAATTCTCTGCAGTTGTCGCACTTCTACGAGCAGGGTGATGGGATGTATTGAGGTCACTTCCTCTGAGAGCAGAGCGGGCACTGAAGCAGAGCTCCTGGTCAGTGGCAGAAAATGAACTCACAAGCCAGAGTGTCTGCTCACAGTCCCTGGGGTCACAGCGAGTGATTACTCGGTGCACAGCTTCATCTCAGAGGCGGCACCCAGTATTTGCTTTGTTTCAGTAACCGACCTTGCCCACAAGCAAACTCCCGAATCAAAATAAGGGTTGAGAATTCACGTGAGCTGTCAAAAAGTGTAGCCGTCCCTGTCTGTGTGTATATTTCTGTTACATTAGAACCCACTTAACCTGTGGTGAACTCCAGCTAACTGGAGCATGAGGACATGCAGCAGCTCGCCGCAGGCCTCTCTTGGCTTTCACCCTGCACTTTTTACCTCTCCAGGACCACATCCTGCCTCTGACCGCTCCACTTAAGGATCACAGCCAGCGTTGTTAAAGGGCAGCCGCAGTAGTTATTATTCCACGGTGAGAAGGTTTCGTTTGCGTTCCCTCCTCTCTCCTTTTTCTGTTATGAAAAGAAGACTGGTTTTTGCATAATATGAAATCCCAGCAGTCTGTGGATCAATAGAATGCAAATTCACAGACACTTAAAAGTGTGCTCCCTTTAGACGGTGCTAAGTTACACTGAAGCAGCATCCAGAAGTTGCATTGAATGTTTTTTTCCTTGCTGTCTCATTTTAAAAAAAAAAGAGAAGCTCTTGATCACAAATTTACGACAGAAAACAGGACTCATCAGATGAGCTGCAGTCAGTATCTGGATATTAGATCCTCCTCACAACACCTACAGTACATGCTCCTCAAAGCTGTTAAACTTTGCTTACATAAAACCCATGTCGCTTGAGACCTCCCAACCGGTCCATTTTAGATGTGCCGCAAAGCTACAATGACTTCAATGACTTTGTCTTACAGCAGCCAAATATTCCATTGAGACTTTCATCCATTTTCACTCCTTATATTTACAACGCCAAAATACCAGCCGACTGTCTCCCGAGAGTAGGGCTGTCAGAAGCGATGTTACACATCACAGGGCTTTTCTGAGTGGCTGTTGCTGATTATCACTCCCGCACAGACTGTGGCAGCAGCTGCCTCGGTTGCTTTTATTATTCTTTCCTTGTCTGCCACCTTATTTCAGTGTAAACAAAAGAAATGTTTACTGTAACATCAAATCAGATTTTCATTGGCCCATTTATGATCTGTTGTGATGGAGACAGCTGGAAAAATACCAAACCATTTGGTAGTCTCTATGGAAAATTAACATTTTAATAAATGACAACCTGTACTAATTACTCCCAAATGTACCAAACTACATTTATAGCATTAAGATAGGGATATTTTCAGTTGCATCCTTTCTGACAAATAAAACAATACCCATGTCAGGTTGTTACAAGATGGAAGATATTCAAATTCAGATTTGACCAGAAGCAAACAGTTTCCTTTGTGAAAGTTGTATTTTTCTTTCTTGCATCGTGGGGAGTCGAGGTCAAATCTGTCGGTGTGTGGGTTTTTGTGTGTCTTATCGGCAGAGCTGGGTGAAAGCATGAACGTGTGTGTTGATATGTTCTCATTCCTTGACAGGTGTGTGCTCTGCCAGGCAGCTGCAGGAGCTGTCAGAACAGCTCTGCCGTTATGCTGTCTTGTGTCACTTCGTGTGGGCTGGTAATTTACAACAAATGATATTGCATTCTCTCTTCTGACAGCCTGCCAACAGTGTGTCGCCTGGCAAAGCCAGCAAAGTCGTTTGTCAACTCCCAGCCCCCTCGCATCCCCGGACGCCCACCATCTTGGTTTCGGGCACAGCACCGCCGCCACACCGGTGAAGGTCAGGGGTACGGTGGCAGACTCACCTGCTAAATCTTTAATAAGCGAGGGAGTCGGCCCCATCTGGAGTTGAAGAGTGCAACGGAGGGTGTGGCAATGTGTCAGGAGAATCCTCTAAAAGCCTTTGCGGCTAGTTCCCCCCCCCCCCCCTGTTTTCCCTCACAAAGACGACAACTTGTGACAGGCCAGCTGTTGTGCCCATTTCATGGCCGCAGGAAAAACATTTGTGAGATGATGCAATCACTGTGTCGGGATGAATTTCAAAGCAAATGTGCATGGTACAAACATGGTATCCTTTTAAATATGCACAGTGAAACATTGTAAATGGACATACTGCAAATCAATGTGAAGTGTGAAAGGGTTTTTCCATCATTATTTGGTACAATGTTAAAAGTACTGTCTGGACCAACGGCAACCAACTTCAGTGCTGTTTGTTGCTCAGTGGATTGTTTTAAGTCAAGGACAAGGACACGTGAATATCCTCCTTATTGCTGTCATGAATATATCATAACCATGTTTCGTGGTGATTTTCTTTAAAGGGGCCTTTTGCACATCTGAAAGTCTTTGTTTTATTTTAATCCGCAATGCGAAGGGAAATCGTCTGTAACTGTAGTCTGCCCCTGCTGAGTAAAGTTATGAAAAGGGATTCATGCACCAAATGCTGACGTGACGTGTTAAAGTGGACAAATTAGAATATTCAGA